TCAACCCGAGGTATGACTGTAAATAAATTCTGCTTCAAAAGATGTGTAGGTCTTTATGTCACTGCTACAGATGTCTAAGGAGAATGAAGCTTAGACTAACTCCATTTTTAAAGAGAGGTTGCTTTTCATTCTTAATGCCAGTGGCTTTGATGATGGATATGTGGTGCTTGCTGTGATTATGTTTTCTTGGACCTTAGGGCTGTGATACCGTGAGCTGAACACAGTATCTGTTGTCCAAAGTTTCTGGTGCATATGAGGTTTTGTTGTTATGGCGGCAACAGCTGATGAATAAATCCGCATCTAACCCGAAGCCACAATGCCACTGGCTGTGATTCGGCCAAATCATATCAATTCAAAGAAAAATGGGCTCCGCTAGTAGCTGGACTTTGGATTAGAAGCCTCAAATGTGCTCCAAATAAGACAGGAGCAGGTCGTATATTGTTGTTGTTGTTGTTTAGTCGTTTAGTCATGTCCGACTCTTCGTGACCCCATGGACCAGAGCACGCCAGGCACTCCTGTCTTCCACTGCCTCCCGCAGTTTGGTCAGACTCATGTTTGTGGCTTCGAGAACACTGTCCAACCATCTCGTCCTCTGTCATCCCCTTCTCCTTGTGCCCTCAATCTTTCCCAACATCAGGGTCTTTTCCAGGGAGTCTTCTCTTCTCATGAGGTGGCCAAAGTATTGGAGCCTCAGCTTCATGATCTGTCCTTCCAGTGAGCACTCAGGGCTGATTTCCTTAAGAATGGATGCGTTTGATCTTCTTGCAGTCCATGGGACTCTCAAGAGTCTCCTCCAGCACCAGAATTCAAAAGCATCCATTCTTTGGCGATCAGCCTTCTTTATGGTCCAGCTCTCACTTCCATACATCACTACTGGGAAAACCATAGCTTTAACTATACGGACCTTTGTTGGCAAGGTGATGTCTCTGCTTTTTAAAGGTCGTATATTACCAACAAGCTTTTAGAATGCAGTGATTGAGAGGCTTTTAAATACTTCCTGGGCTGACAGTCAGTTAGTCCAGCCTATGCTGATTTACTTGGGAGCAAGCCCCTTTGAAATTGGTGGGACTTACTTTTGAGTAGACATGTCTAGGAATGCAAGGTAAAGTCTGAGCTACAATTCCTGCCATGAGCACACTAGGTAACTTTAGGCAAGCTGCAGTCTCCTTGCTTCAGCTTCCCTCCTCCTATATAGGGATAATTACTGACTTAGCTTGCAAGGCTGTTGTAAGGTTTACTGCGAGAGAATGTCCGTAAAGTCCTTTAGATGTGGGCATTTTACAAATAGGGATGATCTTATTGCAAAAGGTAAGTGGTAGTAGCCATTCCAACGAGAGCAACTGTGTGTTCATGAAACTGTTGTTTCTCTAAACACACTCCCGTTTTGTAGCATGAACTAAAGTTGTTTCCATTTTCTTCCCATTGATTGGCTCTGCTGGGCTAAAAGTGTGCACAAGCAAATGGTTTTGTCTGTGGAAGGCAGTGATTCCCCAAATTAGAAGCATCTGCCCTGTGGGTGCTCTTGGAGGCCCCATGCACTATGATGGCTCTATGCTCTGCTTCCACATTTGGATGCAGCAATGCTTCTGACTACCAGTTGCTGGAAACCACAGGAGGCGAAAGGGATCTTGTGCCTGATTCCCAATTTGCTGGTATCCCACAGGCCACTGTGAGAATAGGATGCTGGACTAGATGAGTCACTGGCAAGATCCAGCAGGCTCTTTTTATGTTTCTATATCCCTCTCCATATATGGGCATTGATGTCATCTCAAGGGAGGATCCTGGATCCCAGAAGCATCAATATTGGCCAGAAAGTACAGTATATTTATATCTATAATCATTAATTTAAACTCCACCTTTTTCCCTGACAGGGGAAAGAGAAGGGAGGGGGAGAATCTGAGCACACAAGTGAAGCCTACCCCACCCCCACCCCCGTTTTAATCCAGGAAAAAACAACTTTGTGTGTCTTTTGAGTTTCCAAAGTTTGGAAAACACTGGTGTAAGGTGTCCCATTAGCAGTACAAGAAGAGCACTTTGGGTAAAAAAAAGAAAAGAAAAAAGAAGAAGAGCACTTTGTGTTATGGTAAATGAAAGATTAAGATCTGAACAAAGAAGCATTTCGGATTCATGGTGTGAAATAGGGAACGGCTGTGCTTTCCAGTAAGGTTCAAAGGCTGGGGGCTTCCTTCTATTTAGGCCAGGGGTAGGCAGCCTAAGGCCCGGGGGCCGGATGTGGCTCAATTGCCTTCTCAATCCGGCCCGCAGACAGTCTGGGAATCGGTGTGTTTTTCCATGAGTAGAATGTGTGCTTTTATTTAAAATGCACCTCTGCGTTATTTGTGGGGCATAGGAATTCGTTCCTATTTTTTTCCAAAATATAGTCCAGCCCACCACATGGTCTGATGGACGGTGGACCGGTCCACAGCTGAAAAAGATTGCTGACCCCTGATTTAGGCCCTGTTCATCTCTTTATACCCTTTTTGTGACATGCTGAGGCTTTCCAAGCCTGTGGCAAGCAAGTTCATCTGCACATGAATAGCTAAGGATTTGAATTTGGTTGCCATTGAGCAGCTGTGTTCATGCTAGCTCAGATGGCAGAGATTTGAGCCACATTTTCTCTTTCCCCCAACTGAGAAAATGCAGCATAGCTAAGTTCCCTTTGGCATCACTCCCCAACACTGAAGCCAGATTATGCTACCCACCCATCCTGCCTTTCAAGAATCCAAAGAACTGTAATTTACCCATCCCAAGGCTAAAATTCAGGTCCTGTATACCTGAAGGAGCGCCTCCACCCCCATCGTTCAGCCCGGACACTGAGATCCAGCACCAAGGGCCTTCTGGCGGTTCCCTCATTGCGAGAAGTGAGGTTACAGGGAACCAGACAGAGGGCCTTCTCGGTAGTGGCGCCCGCCCTGTGGAACGCCCTCCCTTCAGATGTGAAGGAAACAAGCAGCTATCTTATCTTTAAAAGACATCTGAAGGCAGCCCTGTTTAGGGAAGTTTTTAATATTTAATGCTGTATTGTTTTTAACACTTGATTGGAAGCCGCCCAGAGTGGCTGGGGAAACACAGCCAGAGGGGCGGGGTATAAATAATTATTAAAAATCCCAGCACCCTTCCCTGAATTCTTTGGGCAAAATAATGTGTTTTTGAGGTGTGCACGCAGCAATATTTCAGGAAGGGTTACAATACGATACAATAATCTTTATTGTCATTGTCCCATACAGAACAAGGAAATTGAAAATCTACATCAGACATTCAGAAAGTAACCAAGAGGTTGTGGGTCTTTTGATCTCCTTCAAGTCTCTGTAAGGGAGCTGTAGTTTATGCTCGGAGGGGATGGAGATTTGAGAGATGGAGGATATTTATGGGTGTTTGATCGCAGCAGGGCAAGGGAAAGAGGACAATCGTGTAAGGTCAGGTTTTATTGAGTAGGTAGCTTTTTCTGCATTGAGAAGGAGGTTCTGGGGAGCCAACCCTGTTGGTGCTGAGAGGAAGAAGGGGTGTGTATCTTGCTTGTCAGTGCTTGGAAAGTTTTTTCAGTGGGTGGAGTGCTCTTTGCCCTCTGTGTCCACAAACGAAGCGCCTCTCAAGTGTAGACATGCTTTCAAGTTCTGTTCCAGAAAACCGCAAGCTACTTTGGCATCTTATCAGCGTTTCCTCAGTGAAATGTAAAGCAGACAAGCTTCCTTCAAAGACAGCTTGCCCACAAACAGTCAACTTTCCTCTGTAATGTGCTGATGCAGAAAGAGTATTTAGCATGTCCCCAGGCGGACTCTTATGTTCATGTAGGGGAATTGTGAGGCCCTTGAGGTCTGGCCAGTGCCTCACACAGACTGAATGTGCAATACCTAACACATGTTCCAGCATCCTCTGAGTAGGGACACTGTGGCAGGTGGGCAGACTATTTATTTCCACATCTTGGTGTGAGAATGATTGCTTAGCTAAACTGGGGTTAAGCAAAACTGGAAGACAAAGCTTCCCAACTTTTTGCAGAGAACTTCTTATTTCCCAGCTTCTTTGGAGAAGAGGTAAGTATGTGTGAGCCCAGGGAAGCTAGTCTCACCCGTTACAACAAACCAATCTTCTCCAACCTGCTCTCTGGATCTTGATCAGAGCTGTACTCAAAAACATCTGAAGGGCAACAAGATGGGGGAAATTACCTGAAAAATGGTGCCTGGTTTTTTTTCTCTCAGGATGTTTTGGACATGTTGGTTCTATGCATATTAGCGGCGCTATCCCTGTTACAGTGGCAAAAGAAATTCTTACACTACACTTTGTGTGTAACTCAGTGCTTGCTTTCTCCAGCAGAGAGGTTATTTGCAAGTAGGCAGCATGGGCATAGGCTGGATTTACAGGGGGGAGGGGGCAGGACACCCACCTGCCCTGTTCAGAACCAAGCTACCTGCAGCACGATTGGTCAGAAGCTATGCCTATCGCTCAGTCGGGTTGCCAGTTGTGTTGCTAGAATGCGCCACAAGTGACTTCATTGAGCATTTCAATTTCAATATTCTGATTATTTCTACTATTAGTTAAGTATTTTTTATATATTGCCCTCCCCTGGCTACACTCATGGTAAACAGTATAACATGATCATGTGTACAGCAGACTAATGGGTTAAGAACGGACCATCAATCAGTGGAAAAGCCTATGCTTTGAATTTAAAGGCTTCCCCCACATTGCCCACGACCTTCCAAACCAGGATTTCCCAAAGCTGGGTCTCCAGCTGTTTTGGGACTACAACACCGATCATCCCTTGTCCTGCTAGCTAGGAAGGATGGGAGTTGTAGTCCAACAGCAGCTGGAGATTCAAGTTTGGGAAACCCTGTATGAACTTAATATACCTCTTGCTCCCTGAACTTAAAAGCCCAAACGCTACACAGGACAGCTGCCAACACTGCCCTGCGCTTTCTGAGTCGGCAAGGCGATCCTGTGAGGCAGCCTCTCTCTCTCTCAAATTTGGTTCCCCAGATACTGGTGGACTACAACTCCCATCATCCCTAGCAACTAAGACCAGCGGCCGGGGGTGACGGGAGTTGTAGTCCAGCAACGACACTTGAGGGTGCCCCCAGTTTGAAGCCGTGAGGGGGGGAAGGAAAGCGCGCGCCGGAGACAGCGGCGTCGGCCTTCCGTCCCGCCCCTCACACAGCGCTACACGTGAAGCGCGGCGGCTCGGCCCACCCACTCGAGCGCGGCGGTTGGCTGGGCCGCGCTAGGCCGCGAGGAGGGGGCCGGGCCGCCTAGGCCTCTCCTGACTGGCGCAGGCGGCGCTCGTGACGGGAAGGCGGAGGCCCGGACCCGCCTCGTCCCCGCCCGCCTCGCCCGCCTTTCCTGCGACTCCTCTTTCCCGTCTGTGCCGACGCCGCTGACTAACCTTCGCCGGCCTCCCCTCAGCCGGGTCGCCTCCTCCGTGTTGCTGCCGCGGCGCGTGAGGCTTCCGCCCGAGTCCGCTTTCGCAGGAGAGAGAGGCCTGCCTTCTCCCCCCCGGGAAGAGCCCCCCGGCCTGCGGAAGAAGCTCCGTCCGGGCAGGCAAGCTGGCTTCCGACGACGACGACGACGGCGCCGCTGCTGCCGCCATGCAGCCCTGCGCCACGACGGGCGGCTCCAGCGACAAGAAAAGGTGCGGGTCTGGGCGGCACCGCTCGCCTCCTTCACACGCCCCCCGCTCCTGGTTTCGGGAAGAGGGCCGGCCCGCCTTTGCTTGCTTGCTTACCCCGATATCTTTCGTATTATTCGTATTGTTTTGTGCCCCCGGAAGCTGAGCGCGCTCGCGGAGTGGATGGTGGAAGGACAAAAATCCCCTTCCCTCTCTTTCTCTCTTGCTTTCCCACCAGCCTTTCTCATCCTGTTCTCCCTCCAAGCCAGGCCATTGGAGAAATAATAATAGTAATAATAATAATAATAATAATAGTAATAATATGCTTTCTTCCCACGTCCAAATTCTCTTCTCTTCTCTCCCGGCCCCGCCGCCGTCTAAATCTGGTTTCTCCTGTTCAAGGTTTCGGATCCCTCTTTATTATCGTTATCTCTTCTTTTTTATACCTAGCTGGGCTTCAAAGAAGATGCTTTGCCATTTTGCAAAAGCGAGGAGGGGGCGTCTTGGGACGCTCCTTCCATCAGGGTGTTTTTTCTTCTTTTTGGCATCCTTCCTCCAGGGCCCTCTCATCATTTACCTTCTCCATCTATTATTATTATCATTATTATTATTATTATTATTATTATTATTATTTTATAACGTAGCAAATCTAGCAGAGAAAAAGTGTGTGAGAGAGAATAGAGTTACTCCCTACTCTTCTATGTCCTTTCTGTGTGTGTGTTCTTGGCAGCGCCCCTTCTTTTCTCCCCCCCCCTTTGTTCTTATCTTAATCCACCCCCTGCCTCTTTTCTCATTCCTCCTGCTTCCCCATCCTTTCTTCTCCCTGGAGGGTGTTTCACTCTTTCTCCTCTTCTTTTTTCTCTCTCTCCCTTCTCTCTCCCTCCCCCCCTCTTCCAAAGTGTCCACGTCGCCATTTTGTTGGAGGGGGTGGGGGGGTGAGAGGGTTTTGGGGGGAAAATAAAACGAGAATCCAGGATATAGAAAAGTGGAGGGTGCCCTTGACTTGTTAATCAGCTCAACTTTTCTTACAAGGTGAATTTTATCTTCGCTGCCTCCCCAGGGTAGACCCCCAATATTTTGAAATTGTTGCTTTAGGCTGAATTAAAAACCTGGCTAGTATGAAATGAGGAGCCTGCAAGCATTGTGGTTGAGATGAGCAGTGTGAGTCCAGTCTCTGATTTCTTAGGCACACACAGACAGGCGAGTTATGTTAATGCGTCTTTGAGTGTTTGTAGATGGATATTAGATGGAGATGAGTTTGCCAGGGCCTGGCTGTGATTTAGAAAAAGAATGGTGCTTTGCTGTGGAGCTTTCCAAGTTCTCTGTAACCAAACCATATGGGGAAAAGTCAGTTTGAGGAAGATATAAAATCACTGTTGGTAAGTGGATGGAAATTCCGTGCCTTTATGTGTCTGGAAAGTGAGAGGAAAGTAATGTTTTAAAAGGCGGCTCCGTGTCCTGAGACAGAACAGAAAAGTAATGTTTCTTAAGTTCATTATGTTTTCAGAAGATCAGAAATGTCTCCAGTGAAAGAGACAAACTGTTCTTTTGTATGCTGCAAAAATAATGACAATGTGCAGAGACTAAAGCATACAATTCAAATGTTCAAAAATTGTTGGAATTGTGTTTCCATTGTCTTTCAAGGACAAATGCTATGACTTTTTTCTTTTTGGTCATTTAGGGAGCATCCTGTAACAAGATCCACTGGGATGAGTGGGTTAGGATCCAGTGGACCTCTGGCTATGCTGAGAGGTTCCTGGTGTAGCCAGCTATGTTGGCTTAACTCCCTCACCCTCTGGTCAGCTGGAGGTATGTCCTTATCTCCCCCATCAAGCCTGGTGGATCTTAAGCTGGTGTAAGCTCAGAAAGAGGAGTATTCTGGGGATGTGATTGGGCCAGAACCAACAGGGTGGGGGGAACATAGACTGGATCCTAAACCCATTCAGCCTGGTCAGATGACAGACATAAATTAAGCTAGCAAAAAGGGTGGGTTAACTCAAACACTACTTTAAAAGTCTGCTTTTCTTCTGCCAGGCTCAGTCACAGTAGTCGCCCCACCACTGAATGCAGTTTGGAGTATCTTTATGCCAGCTTATTGTATATAGGATTGCTCCCTTAGTCTGTTGCAGGTATAACTTAGTTTTAATTCTAAATGTTGCATTACTTGCCTAACCCTTGAGATGGAACTCGCTGAAAAGTTTAAATAACATTTACAAAATTCTCAGGGTATCCTGGAAATCGCTCTTGTTTTCTGTAAATGTTAATAAAAGAGGATACAAGCACCCTTATATCAAGGGTATCATCAGATTAACTTTTTTGACCTGTGATCAAATATTTTATACCAATAATCAGTTTCTGAATCAGGGATGGGCAAACCGGCCCCAGCCAGCGTGGTGAATGGTCAGGGATGATGGGAGTTGTCAGAAAGTGCACGTTGGCTACCCCTGTTCTAGATGGTACTTCCGAAGTCTTTCTCCTGTGTTCTGTAACTCCTGGTGTTGTAGTTGCTCTCTATTTGCATCAGGTTCTCTCATCTATTGCTTCAGACTACAAGAGGCAGACTTGTTCTTCTCTGTAGTGGGGATGAGTCACTGAGAATGGAGGACGCTGAGAAAGAGAAACTGCAGCTCTTTCTTTTGGCAAGGGTAGCAGAGGTTATTCTAAACACCAGAATTACCCACATATTTCCCTTAATTGCTGGTTCCCGTGGCATGTTCAGAACGAGTTGGATCTTCCTTTGGTAATTACCTTGGATTTCCAAGTGATAAGATCCTGTAGTAATTTGCAGACGTGTAGTAAGGTTTGCCATTAGATATTTGTGGAGATTGGGTGGTCATTTTTTTATTATTTTTAAATTCGACACCAATCCTTTTTCTGGTGGATTAAGTTTCTTAATCTCCCATTGGCAGAGGGCAGTGTTTCTTTATATTGATAGCAATGCCATTTTTGCAATTTGAGACGGATAAATGAGTTCAAGCTGTAACATTTCTCGCTGTTTAAATGGTGTTACAGGGACTGGATAAAACACTCACTACACCGTAATACCTTCAGATCTTGGAGAAGCGTAATCTCCCTAAAATTGACCAGTGGCTAAGAAGAGGGTGGGATGTCAACGTTGTGAACAGAATTATATGCCAGAAATGATGTGGGAAGAGAACTAACAATTCAGACTTCTCAACAAAATTGGTGGCTTTTATTATGGTTTGGAATAAAAACATTGATTATACGACAACAATAGATATTCTTGGCATGATATAACTGGACTATATTTGTTTTAAAACAGAATGTTTGATACGATATACAACCAGATGCAAATATGCCTTTTTAAACTTTAGCTATGAGTTTGACCAAACTGTGGGAGGCAGTGGAAGACAGGAATGCCTGGTGTGCTCTGGTCCATGGGGTCATGAAGAGTCGGACACGACTAAACGACAACAAACTTTAACTGTAAATATTTATGGATACATGTACACATTTAGTTTGTATACTTGATAAGAGTGTAAATTGTATAGGTAAAACTATTAGGAAGCAAAGTTTGTCTGTGTTCATGAGGATATACAGCTAATGTGCTGATCCTGTGCAAAGATTGAATTGCTTGTCTCTGATGTGTTCAAAAATACATTGTTTTAATGTCTTCATGGGATGGTCTGATATGAAATTGCCTTGCTGACTGTGGCCAGAAAGGTGATTGTGGGAAGACCACAATTTTAATGCCTGAAGGAGATCTCCTGGTGTCCACAAAGTTCCCTGGTTTAGAGGAAACAGTAGACGCATTGCAGCTCCTATCTTTAGAGAGCAGCCTTGTGTGTTGAAATCTGGTGCTACACATTCCTCTCCTGGGTCTTGGTGTGAACATTCAGTTTGTAATTAAAGAGGGTAGGTGAGCACTGTTTGCTCTTCTGTAAAGGGCTGTAGTTATTTATGCTGGTGTGGAGAGTTCTACAAACAAACAACCCACCACATACAAAGGAAGGTAACTACAGATTATCCGAGAGGAAACTCTGGATTGTTTTGTAAGGTTCACAGGCATCAGTTATGTTCTCTGGAAATGCCTTTCCCCAACAATAAACTTATATACACAAATGTAGTATGAAACCTGCAGCCCCTCTGGATCTTGCTTGGAAGCCACATAAATGATTTCTTCATGTAAATTTCGTTAGTGTTTAAAAGGTTTCCTCATGCCCGACACACTTCTAAATGCTGTATGTTCTATAGGTGAAGGTAAAGGGACCCCTGACCGTTAAGTCCAGACGTGGACGACTCTGGGGTTGCGGTGCTCATCTCGCTTTATTGGCCGAGGGAGCCAGCGTACAGTTTCCGGGTCATGTGGCCAGCATGACTAAGCTGCTTCTGGCAAACCAGAGCAGCGATGCTGCAACTTCGCCCGGGCAAAGCATGCCAGCCAGCAACGACCTGACATACATGTGGTTAAGGAGAAAACAAGAAAAAATTCTGAATGAAACAGTGGATGTATCATTTTGTCCTTCATGCTGTGGCCACAGACATGTGATTTGACCGGTGAGTTTAGGGTAGCCCAATGCAAGATCCTGAGGATCCATGTGGATCTGTGCTTGGTACCACGTTTTGCACCATTGCAGCCCCAGGACCATAACACGCACATAGTTTTTAGAGGAGGAAAACAAGAAAAAAAAATTCTGAATGAAACAGTGGATGTATCATTTTTGTCCTTCATGCTGTGGCCACAGACATGTGATTTGACGGTGAGTTTGGGGTAGCCCAATGCAAAGATCCTGAGGATCCATGTGGATCCATGCTTTGTAACCACGTTTTTGCACCATTGCAGCCCCAGGCAACAGTGGGTGCGTGATTTTTTTGGTGCAGGCTGTAGCCATGGATATGCTATGTGATCTGATGTTGAATTTGGGGTGACCCTATACAAAGATTCCGAGGATCCATGTGGATCCGGGCTTTGTAACCACGTTTTTGCACCATTGCAGCCCTGTTTTTGCATCAGATCATTGCTATGTGATCTGATGGTGAATTTGGGGTGACCCAATGCAAAGGTCCTAAGGATCCATGTGGATCCGGGCTTTGTAACCACGTTTTAAGTGGGGAGGGAAGGAAAAACATAGAAAGGACAAGGAGCACCGAGAGGGCTGTGCGGAGAAGCAGCTGGCTAAGAATGCAGGAGAGGGGTTTTACCTGAGGGAGGAAAGGAAGGCAAAAGTTCCCCCCACGCACCCACCCAAGCCAGCCAGCTCTCTCTCTTTCTCTCTCTCCCCCCCCACCTGCATGTTGCAGCACCAGAGCATGGAGAGGAATTAGAAGGAAGGACGCTCTGCTTTCCCCTCTGCTTGCCTGGAGGGGAGGGGTTTTCTCTGCTCTTTGTTCTGTTTGAACAAACACAGTAACAAACAGAAGCGGGTGGGCAGTAAGACCCTGAGGCAGAATGCAGGAAAGCAGCAGCTTCCTCTTTTCAAGGCTTCCCCTCTCTGGACGATTGATAGTTGCCTGATTTTTGCCTTCACTCGCGCCTGTCGGCTCCAGGGACCACACATTCACTCAATAACACGCACAGACATTTCCCCTTACTTTTTAGGAGAAAAAATCTGCGTGTTATAGAGGGGAAAATACGGTATTTATCTACTTGCACTTTGATGTGCTTTCAAACTGCTAGGTTGGCAGGAGCAGGGACCGAGCAACGGGAGCTCACCCCGTTGCGGGGATTCGAACTGCTGACCTTCTGATCAGCAAGCCTTAGGCTCTGTGGTTTAACCTACAGCACCACCCGCGTCCCTTCTATGTTGTTGTTGTTGTTTAGTCGTTTAGTCGTGTCCGACTCTTCGTGACCCCATGGACCAGAGCACGCCAGGCACTTCTGTCCTCCACTGCCTCCCTCAGTTTGGCCAAACTCATGCTGGTAGCTTCAAGAACACCATCCAACCATCTCATTCTCTGTCGTCCCCTTCTCCTTGTGCCCTCCATCTTTCCCAACGTCAGCGTCTTTTCCAGGGAGTCTTTTCTTCTCATGAGGTGGCCAAAGTACTGGAGCCTCAGCTTCACGATCTGTCCTTCCAGTGAGCACTCAGGGCTGATTTCCTTAAGAATGGATACGTTTGATCTTCTTGCAGTCCATGGGACTCTCAAGAGTCTCCTCCAGCACCATAATTCAAAAGCATCAATTCTTCGGCGATCAGCCTTCTTTATGGTCCAGCTCTCACTTCCATACATCACTACTGGGAAAACCATGGCTTTTACTATACGGACCTTTGTTGGCAAGGTGATGTCTCTGCTTTTTAAGATGTTGTCTAGGCTTGCCATCGCCTTTCTCCCAAGGAGCAGGCATCTTTTAATTTCGTGACTGCTGTCACCATCTGCAGTGATCATGGAGCCCAAGAAAGTAAAATCTCTCACTGCCTCCATTTCTTCCCCTTCTATTTGCCAGGAGGTGATGGGCCCAGTGGCCATGATCTTTTTTTTGATATTGAGCTTCAGACCATATTTTGCGCTCTCCTCTTTCACCCTCATTAAAAGGTTCTTTAATTCCTCTTCACTTTCTGCCATCAAGGTTGTGTCATCTGCATATCTGAGGTTGTTGATATTTCTTCCGGCAATCTTAATTCCGGTTTGGGATTAAGTCCCTTCTATAGAGCTGGGCAAATAGCTGTTACTTTATTCTGATACTCCTTTTTTTAGCAGACATCAGGACTTTCGACTCCAGGTCATTAGTGCTGGAGTGGGATGAAAGTATATGATACAGGAGATTCAGATGTCCTTACGAACAGCTATGGGCTCCCCAGAATGGAACTCCTGTGCAAGAGGGTTTTATCCCCTTCCTCCAGTCTCTTAACCCAGGGGGTGGGGGGAAGCAGTTTGAGGGGACATATGGACAAAGTGATTTGATCAAGGAAACAAAATAGGAGGAAGGGTTCTTCTCCCTCTCACTAGTGCCCCAATCCCCCCCCCCCAGCTGCTTCTTATTTCAAAAAGGAAAGCTGCTCGGAACTGGTCATAGGTTTCCCATTTTCTGCCCCATAGGCATGTCTTTGATTAGGATTGTTTGGCAAAGATATGAACACAATAGCATTTGTATTGAAGCCTAGCTGCAACTGTACTTGCTTCAGGGGTCTGATTACCTTTGCCACATCAATGCAGCTTTGAACCAGCTTTTTGCTTTCTTTGCTATCGTCTTTTGGGGGCTAGCGAATATGAGACGTCTAAAGGGGGAAGCTGCAAACGGGAGTGTCTGACAACATTGGTTAAGCAGGGAATGATGATACTGTTGCGTTCAAAACATTTGCGGGCTTGCTGCCAAAGGCTTGTCCTTGTTTGTAGTAGCCTCCTGCCCTCTGTGGCTTCCTTCCTCAGAATTCAGGAAGCATCCAGTGGGCGAGAAGGAAAAGGCACTGGTTTCCTTGCAACCCCAGAGATGGAATTAGCTTCCGGCTTGATACTTAGCTGGGCACATGTTCTTCCTGAGGCGTTCTCCTGTTCTTGTCCATAAGAACATTAGAACTGCCTTGCTGGATTAGACCAATGTTCTGTTTCCAGTGACCAGCCCAGGGGTAGGCAACCTAAGGCCTGGGGGCTGGATGCAGCCCAATCACCTTCTCAACCCGGTGTGCGGACAGTCCGGGAATCAGCGTGTTTTTACATGAGTAGAATGTGTCCTTTTATTAAAAACGCATCTCTGGGTTATTTGTGGGGCATAAGAATTCATTCAATTTTTTATTTTATTTTTTCAAAATATAGTCCGCCCCACCATATGGTCTGAGGGATGGTGGACCGGCCCACGGCTGAAAAAGTTTGCTGACCCCTGGACCAGCCAGATAAGGGGGCTACACCTTGCTTTGAAAATCTACTTGTGTTAAGAGGCTAACTCTGAAAAGAATTAGTACTTCTTGGATTCAGAATCAGCTGAAAATGAAGTCTGTTTTGTGCACAGATTTAAGGGGTTGGCCTTAATCCTGAATAAAGGCTAGGGGGCGAGGCTTTCCCCAGGGAAGGGTTGAGAGGAGTGTGTAATCGTAAGGGTGGCTTCAGATTTGTAACTTGCTGTTATTGAAAAGTTAGTATCACTTCTGTACTGGAAATAATTGATTTGCATTAAAAGAAAACGGAGGTTAAGAGTGTGCAGCTCTCCTGCTCAGAATGGTCAAGGGGTTTTCCAGCTTGAAGATGAGCTTTAATGATAAGGTTGTTAAATAGCCCTGTCTTTTAGAATGGACATGGGATATGAAGAGTTGTTGTGGAATTTATCTTTTGGGCATCTGGGTAGCTAACTCTGATAGAAAGAGGCTTTTGTGGCATCATTGATGCCTGCTCTACATTAAGTATTTAAAATCCATTAGAATTGCAGGTTTTAATTACCAGTATGACTTTTGTAAATTATAAATCAACAAAGACAGTACTGTTCTCAATACCCGATATGAGACTAGATATTTACTGTACATAAAGTGGAGTGGCTTCTTTGAAACACACTGTCCCCATCTGTTCTCCAGTATCTTAGAACAGTGTATACTCTAATCACCTATCAGATTTCCAGTTTCATATTCTGGAGCACAAGAGCTGAATTTTGGGGGTGGTGGTGGTTCTTTTTGCTTATTGGCAAACACTTTTTGCTGATGTTTAATTTTACTGTTTGCTATTATATTCTAATGGATTATTGAATATTGCTTTATTTGATATAAGTTATTCATTTTAGAGTTATTGTGATTTTTTAATATTAGATTGTTACTATTAATTTTTGATGTTTTATTATGCTTTTATATGTTTTGGAAGCCACCCAGAGTGGCTGGGGGGGTAGTAATAATAATAATAATAATAATAATAATAATTTGGAAGCCACCCAGAGTGGCTGGGGGGGGGAATAATAAATAAATAAATAAATAAAATGGATAGCATAAACATTTAATAATAAATAATGGATAGCATTCTTTTCATCCCTGCTTTAGTTTGAAAAATAAGCTGCTTGATGCCAGTTGTGGACTTGTGCCAAGTATGCCAGCGATCCAAAGAACTACTTTAGGCCTGCCCAAGGGTGTGGGCATATGTTTTTGAATTTGAACAATGGACAACACCATATAACAAACTATCTTGAAAAGCCCTCACAATTTCAGATGCATTTTTCTGTGTTCGTGGATGGACAAGCAGGCAGCCTGGCTGCTGTTTGAAAGGATGGATCCTTCAGTGCATGGAATTAATTTTGTGGTTGTTTGGAACTTGTAATGTGCACACACACACACAATGGTGAGATATGGTGAGGAGAAGGTGTCATTATGAAATCATAATTTTCTGTGCTTGAGAAACAGTAACATATGACAACTTACTTAAGAATAAACTGGCTAATAATCAAACTGATGGAGCATAGTTCCTAAATGCTAGTCCAGCCTTTCAAATTAGTCTACAAATGTTACTTGGCCTCCCTACCCAAGTTAGCCGTGGCAACTAGTTTCTTGATAATTTGTGTTCTGATGTTTGTGTACATTGAAGGTACCACTTTTGAGTACCACATGGTTACTGTTTTTAAAATTTAAATGGACCTCTTGAAGGTAGATAGCAACTACAGTACTGTTCAAATAATGTTGCAGACATGAGGCTAGAGCTGTGAAAGAGATCTATTGTAGAAAGGCTTTGGTTCTGGAAGAAGAGCATACAGTGGTACCTTGGGATGCGAACAGGATCCGTTCCGGAGCCCCGTTCACTTCCCAAAGCGAACGTAACCCGTGTCTGCGCATGCACAGGTCACGTTTCGGCGCTTCTGCGCATGCGCGTGGCGTCATTTTGACGGTCTGCACATGTGTGCCCGGCGAAACCTGGAAGTAACACACTCCGTTACTTCTGGGTCGCCGCGGAGCGCAACCCGAATTTGCCTAACCCAAAGCGTATTCATCCCGAGGTATGACTGTATTCGCGACATGTGGCTTTGGCGTCACTATAGTCCCAGCCTTTGATAAATGAAGTACGCAGTTAGTTTAGATGTGGAGAAGATTCTGGCTTAACTTTAATGTTTGCATTGCGAATTTGTGTGAGTTTTTTCTTTCATGATAATAGTTTCATGCAGTTAAATGTGACGCATTTGTTGGCTGCTGAAGGGAATGTTGATATCTAGTAGATCTGCCTTGATAATTTAGGAGAGAAGTTTTGGTGATTTATTTTTTTCTTCCCAAGGAAGTTTCAAATTAGGTTATGGTAGAGTTGCAGAAAGCCGCTTAGAAATTGTGAGATTCTATTCCATTCTAAACAGTTTTGTTCTGTGTTCTGAACCAAACCATTAGAAAACGCAGTGAAGCCTAAGTAATTTAGGCTAGGGAGCAGGATTCACAATGGGTTGTTGGACTGGATAAACCTTTGTTCTGAACCAGTAGGGCACTGGAGTTTGAAAAAGCTGAAGTTTGAAAAACACTGGTTGACTGAAGTAGGTGTTGGGAATCTGCTTGGCTCTGAGAACATCCATAGGATTCCCAGAAACGGATCCATAAATCAATCACTGGACAGTAAATAGAGAGCTTCCTTTCAGGCATGCTGAATGGAGTATGGGATCAGTGCTTGTGTTTCCTTTCTGGCACACGGTCTAGGGCCAGCAAGGATTGGGAACCTTTTCCTGTATAAAGGCTGTATTTCCTCTTGGCCAGCCCTTGGGACACACGGATGTCAGCAGCCAAAAAAATCTGAATGTGGCCAGAGTGGGCTGGGCCATCTCTTGTGCACACAGACACATCCCTTCACTTTTCTGCAATTCACATCAACAGAAACCAAGAACATTCATTCCCTTTATTCCTCTCCTCCTGCTCAAGTCACAGCCCATACACAGGTGAAATCTCTCCTTCGGTATTCAGTTTGTCTTGTCCCTCACATTTTCTGCCCCAAGGGTCGCTTGTTAAGGTTCTTGCTTGTGTTGAATAGGGGTGAATAGCCTTGTGGGGTTTTTTTATGGTATAACACTTTTCAATGTATTTGTATTGATTTACTGGATACCTTGTTATTATTATTATTAATTTTTTACTTAAAGCTTTTTCAGAAATACACAATAAAGTGAAAAAAGAGAAACACACACACAAATGTGCATTCACACATATATATGCATATGTATATATGCTAATATATATATGATCATTAATGATGAGCCTCTTGGGCTTGCTGATCGGAAGGTCAGCGGTTTGAATCCACGTGACGGGGTGGTCTCCCGTTGCTCTGTCGCAGCTTCTGCCAACCTAGCAGTTCAAAAGCGTACCAGTGCATGTAGATAAATAGGTACCGCTGTGTCAGGAAGGTAAACGGCGTTTCCATGCGCTCTGGTTTCCGTCACGGTGTTCCACTGCGCCAGAAGCGGTTTAGTCATACTGGCCACATGAACTGGAAAGCTGTCTGTGGACAAACACCAGCTCCCTCGGAGGAGATAGTCGCCTTTGACTGGACTTAACTGTCCAGGGTTCTTTTAATAACCTACTATATTCTGTATGAACTTGCTCCAAATATCAATATATTTATCCAAGCAAAGTCTGTGTCTATGAGAAATCCATTCATATGTTGCAAGTGCTGTCATGTCTTCAATCCATTGATTAAAGGAGAGCATATTTTTGTTATTCCAACTCATGAATAACACAGCTTAAAAGTTTGGCTGTGACTGAGTGGGAAGAAGGAAAATTCTCATTAGCAGAGTGCTTCAGAAATTGCTATTTTTAAGCCCCATCCAGCCCTCATCCCATATCTATGTAGACCAGCCGCGCAGAGTCTGGATTATTTACTGTATATGTAACTAAGCAGGAACTTCTTCTTACAAAGCTGTAACGTGAGTGGGGCATTTCAGGCAGCCGTGATCTCACAGCACTTCCAGAATTATTTGCAGCACTCAAAACTGATAATACAACTGAGCACTTCTGGAACTGCACAAAGAGTTAACAGCTGTTAATGCTGGTGAAAACATGATCCCACTTGTTAGTAGTTCCCCATCCTTGGTCTAGGTCATGGGTTGATAACCTGTGGTATACAGCATTCCTGGGCAGGATGCAGGATTACGTAATCCAAGTTCACTCCTTGCATTCAGAATCAACTACATAAACACTCTAGTTTCTAGGGGATTTCATTTTAAACAGACATTCTGCATTTTACTCAATTGTCTAGACTTGATTGTTAAAAAATGAAAGTGCTCATTTGTTGGGACATTTGAACAACTTGCCATATGTATGTCTGCATACAACTTTTTAAATCCCTGCAAGATTAAACATGTTGCAAAGTTAAAATATGGAATGCAGAAGCTATCGGTTAGATGGCTGTTTCATTTTTTAATGAGTAGGCAGCCATAGTTATTTAATTGTGAAGGTAGAAGCTTTTAAAGGGATGGTTGTCAGTACAGTGGTACTTTGATTTAAGAACAGTCCTGTTTACGAACAGTTTGGTTTACGAACTCCGCAAAACCGGAAGTAGTGTCCCGCTTTGAGAACTTTACCTCAGTCTACGAACAGAATGCTGATAGGGAAGGATAAACATCTGATCTGCTCCACCCCCCAATACACAGCTAAACTTGTCAGTGGTCCTCCAAGGAGGGGATGGAAGGAACAGCTTCTGCTTGAATCAGAGAATGAAGTGTGGAGCACTAATGGAGCTTCACTGACTCTCTAGTTCTGTGATGGTACTTCCCAGTAGGAATAGCGGTATCATGGTCCTGCTGATTATTGGTATCACTCTGTAAATAAACAAACGGTGATGATAATTATAATTATAATAATTGAACTCATTTCTGACCTCTGAATTTAGGTTCATCAGCCCCTTCTTCCTTTTTATTAGTGGGATTTTTTGTTTGTTTCCACTGTAACAAGCAGCCTGACAAAGCCATCTTCACCCCTGGAAGATGGGACCCAAAGTGCTGGGCTATACTGCATCTTTCAAGGGAACTTCTCGTCAGTCTGCTTCTGTCTGTGAAGTCTGCTGAGAGGCCCTGGTACACACAGTCTCATAACATTAGCTATATATTTATAGTTTCCTCTTTGCAACCATATGAGATAGGAAGTTGACAGATAAATAACAAAGTCTTTGGAAGCTGTGTGTGTGTGTTTGAGGAATACATTCACAACCTCACCAAGGTTGCCTGTGTCATCTTTTTGAGGCTCTCTGGAATCCTAACCCGAGGAACATTTGATATCTAGTTGTCCCCTGATGGTCTCATTTTGTATTTAAGTACAAAATACATATATCCTTAAAAGCCAGAAAGAATGAAATACTGGATAAAATGCTAAGGAAAAATCAAGACAGGTAGCTGGGGGGAAAAAACAGTTATAAGCCAGATAAATTGATATTTTTTGGACCAATTTTTGTTGGTGAAAATGTATGTAATCAGTTTAGTTAAAAGTAATTATTGTTGGGATATAACATGCAATAAATAAAATAACAAGCACAACAACCTTTCCATTCTGCCTGACAGTTACCTGAACTCTAAAGCTTGCATACTCTTTCAGTAAACTGGTCCAGAAAAATATTACATTACCTATTTTGTGTATCTCATTCTCTGGAGTTTCAAAGGAACTCTAGTTTTTGCCACTGTACTATAATTTCTGGCGACTTACCACTTCCTCTAGGTCACAGCCCAGCCCAATACAGTAACACCTAATTTACAGGCAACTGGCGAGAAAAGAATATACAATACCAGTGAATTGTGTGCTGGTTTTCCTGAAACCAAATAACCTACAGAAGACAAATTAGTGCTGCCTCTTCTTTTGTAGGCACTGAAACTTGGTTTTCTGATTATTTTGTTGAAAGCTGCTTTGAGCTTGTGTAAAGGTTGCCTGTAAATGTGTTATTTTTAAAAAAATTGTCTTGTTTACAGGGCATACTTTTTCGAGAGTTGTCTTGTTTACAGGACACATTTTTTTGGAGAATAACTTAAGTTTTGAGGTGTTAGGATAAAAGCGCAAGAGCAGCTCCTTTAAAGGGACTGCCGGGGGGGGGGGGGGATAGCAGAAGGAATGTTTTCCTCTGTTTATCCAGGTGGACTATTTTGTTTGGGCATCTGAGTTGCTTATTTTGAGGTATTCTCCAGCACTAATGTGAATACTTGCTTAATGGTGGTACATTTGTCTAATTTACAATAGTCATATAATATGATTGTATACCTCTCAAATCACCAGGAGACTTAATCCCCATGGTTGACTTCAGTGAGACTACTTTGGAGTAATTAATTTTGTGGATTGCAATCTTTTATCATTGGTTTGTGACTTGATCACTAAGCATAAATCACGAGCTGCCTTTTCATTAACCCTTCATTGCACCTGCACATTTATCTTTTTTGGAATAAAACACTTAGAAGCAAAACAGTTCAGTAGTCAGGCTTGAGTATCTGAAGCATTTAAAATTTAGAGTCCAGATCTTACAGCTTTGCTGTTGTTTCTTAACCTTCCCAACTGCTTCACTTACAGTGTTAGGTTTTGCGGTCCCTGGAAGCAGCTATATGATGTTGCAGGCTGGAATTATTTAGCTATACAGTATATATCAAACCTAACAATGGGAGAAGTTTTGGGACACAGTAGTACATGTGAGTTTGGTAATGTTGGTAAGTCAAGCAAATGGGGCAAGCTGTAGTTCCCAACGCTACCGCATAAGGAGTGTCAGATGTAGTATTTACCGTATTTTTGCTCTATAAGACTCACTTTTCCCCTCCTAAAAAGTAAGGGGAAATGTGTGTGTGTGTCTTATGGAGCGAATGCAGGCTGCGCAGCTATCACAGAAGCCAGGACAGCAAGAGGGATTGCTGCTTTCACTGCTCAGCGATCCCTCTTGCTGTTCTGGCTTCTGAGATTCAGAATATTTTTTTTCTTGTTTTCCTCCTCCAAAAACTAGGTGCGTCTTGTGGTCTGAATCGTCTTATAGAGCGAAAAATACGGTACTCAGCAGGAAGAAATGGTATGGGCTGTGCAAGTTCTATCCTCCATTGTTCTGTGCTCAGGCTTTCAGTTTTTGGGAAATATTCCTACTTTGTGATCAAAAACATTTGCCACTGATTTCTCACTATAGAACCCTACCCACCCCCATCCGCTTCCCTTAGAAGTATATGCAGCGTCAGGTTACTGCTATTCTAGCAAACATCCTGTAAATTAAAAAAGGTAGTTCTCAAGAAATTTGTTTCCATCATTTACAGTTTCTACTAAGGGACTCAGCAGCCGCATAAGACCTGTGGAATTTAAGCATGGTTTACCATAAAAGCAAAAATAAATTTTGTCATTTGACTGCAACCATAAATATTAGATAAGGACACTGATAACTTCTTTCTGTTGGCTTTTTTTCTGAGTTGGATTCCTGTAAGAGATTAAAACCAGTGTTAGAAATGCAGATATATAATCTAATCAACAAATACAGTAGAGTTTCTGTGAGACGTATGTGCACACTGATTACAGCTGATTGGTTGGACAGGACTTCAGGAATATGAGTTGTCATCTTGTTCTTTCAACTTACCAAGCTGCTTTTGTACCTTTGATCTTTTATTTGTTGGGGGCTGCTATAGTTGCCATTTTATAAACTTGAAAAAACAGACCTTTTATATGAAAGCAGATATACATGTAACTCTTGTCAGGACTGTTTTTTGGATTTTTAAAATGTTTATTTATCCTGGGTATTGTACTTGGGCTAACCCTGAAAAACAGCTTAAATTATATTTAGTTAAAATAAAAAATTAATAGTTGAATAGCACCTTAAAGGTAAAGGGACCCCTGACCTTTAGTCGAGTCGCAGACGACTCTGTGGTTGCGGCGCTCATCTTGCTTTACTGGCCGACGGAGCCGGCATACAACTTTCAGATACCATGCACACGAAAGCAGATACCTATAACAAACTTAGTTGCTCTATAAGGTGCTACTGGACTATTTTTTAATTTTTTATTTCGACTGCATCAGACCAGCACGGCTACCTACCTGATTTTATATTTAGTTAGTTTATGGCGGGTGACGCTGTGGTCTAAACCACAGAGCCTAGGGCTTGCCGATCCGAAGGTCGGCAGTTCGAATCCCCGCAACAGGGTGAGCTCCCATTGCTCGGTCCCTGCTCCTGCCAACCTAGCTGTTAGAAAGCACATCAGAGTGCAAGTAGATAAATAGGTACTGCTCCCGTGGGAAGGTAAATGGCGTTTCCGTGCGCTGCTCTGGTTTCACCAGAAGCGGCTTAGTTCATGCTGGCCACATGACCCAGAAAAACTGTCTGTGGACAAACGTTGGCTCCCTCGGGCGGTAAAACAAGATGAGCGCCGCAACTGGACCTAATGGTCCAGGGTCCCTTTACCTTTGCCTAGTTTGTGTATACACCCCAGGCACTCTCAGGCCCCACTGAGACAGAACGGCCCAGAGATTCATCTCTACACACCCTCAAGGCTGTGTTATTCCTAGATATTTGAGCCCTTTTCAGTTTCTTAATCACCCTACACTCTTTCTCCAAGCTTTCTGCATTTACCCTTATTTTGGTGCTTCATCTAGCTTTCACAGGCCCTGCCCCAGACCAAACAAGCATCCAGTTCCTGAAGAGAGGCTGCGGCCAACCCTCCTTGCTTTTCCTTTTCACAAATGGCCAGATTGCACTTAATTAACCATCTGTTTTATTGGCTAGTTTTACATGTTGGGGAAAGGGGAACACAGAGCTTCAGAAATGAAGCTCAAAACCGTGTGATACTGGAGACTGCATGTGAAGACTTGGAACAGGAGTAATTTTTTTCCTGGTTTTTATACACGATTGCTGTAAAATGGAGTTGGGAAAAGTTTTCACAGGATAAAAATGAGACTACTGGAAAGGCCAAATCTATGTGTGTTTAAAAATGTAATATTTTGTGTTTTATTTTTATAAGTGGTCATATATGAATTTCACTTGCAAAAAATATGGAAAGGGTGATGACAGCTTAATTATTTTGAATAACATTTAGAACAGAGGATAAACTAACATAAATTAATCTGCAATAAAGGAAACACGTTTAAGGCCTTGTATAATGGAGTAGGTGGTTTTAATATATAATATTGGTGGAGATAGTTCCTTTCAGCAGTGTTTAGGTAATCATCATAGCATTTCTTGGTAATCATACTAAATGTATAGTAGCAGTTGTTTCAGAATCCAAAAGTATTGGCAGGGCATAAGTGCTGTTTACATGTATTTTAGAAATAGAGGACTTGATTACTATTGTTGCTGTTCCAGTGAAGGGCATTAAGTCCTCAATCAGGAAGACCACCCATGGAATCAGAAAGTTACCACTCTGGGAGTGTATACACAAACAACAGTGAAAAAAGGTCACCACCAGTATCAATTCTTTTTTATTTAGCCATTATATAGGGACAAGCAGCCAAGCTGAAGTATCTTTGCAGAAGTCAGTTGTTGTTAAACCATAATTCCTCCCTCAAGCTTAAGATGTGGTCTTCTTCACTGCCTGGTAAGGGCATTAAGACCTGAAAATGGAACCTGGTTAGTTAGATTTGTCATGGCCTGATGAATGTCAGCTTGTAGTAACATGGAGGTGGGCTTTTTCTCTGGTGCCACCCGTACTGTTGAATGCTCTGCCTGCTGAAATATGGGAGGCCCCATCGGTATTGGCAGTCTGGTTGCCCTTGAAGATGCGCCTCTTCAGACCAGCATTTCCTTCTGTTAGATATTTAATTTTGGATGTTTTAATGTAGTTGTTTTACTGTGTGTGTTACCTGTAGTTTTATAATTGGCTTTATTCTTACTATTTTGCTGTTGGATTTTGTCTCTCATCTGCCTTGGTAGCCCTTCTTGAAATAAAATGCAATATATTGATAATTCCTTTTACTACTAACACTACTATTAATAGTACAGCAGCAACATTGGGCTAAATCAGAGATAGCAAATATGATGACTTCCAGATGTAGTTGACCATTGGCACTGCTGGCTGGGGCTGCTGGGAGTTAAGAGTCAAATATCATCTGGGGGGCTCCAAGTTGGCTACCACTGTGCCAAACAGTATACCTGCTGGTTGATGAGAATGGTCTCAAGTATAAGGTTTGCATTATTGTCTGAAAAAGACCTGAGCAAAGTAGAGGTAACCTAGAGCTGAGAGCGAATAGAAAAACAAGACAGATGAAACCACAGGTGGAACATTGACAAATTTTGAGTGCTACCCTGTACTCATCATAACTTATCATTATTGGCAGATCACTGTGTGCATGCCACAATTCTGCAGAAGTGCAGAGAAAACACCAAATGTGGAAGTGGCCACAGAGCTCTTGCTTCCTGAGAAACTCTGCTTTTGCCTTTTAGTGGTGGTGGTGGTGGCTGTTAGAGAGGAGTCTTCAAGCCTTATGACTGTGAACCCTGCCTTGAACACTTGTATGCAATGTTTTCTCCTTATGGAAGCCTTAAATGTGGTTGAATAAGATACTGGCAGTTTGGGGGGGGGGCAAGGCCCTGGATGGCTGTTTGCAAGGAGAAACAGCATGATGTATGCACAGCTCTGGCTATCATTAAAAAGTTAGCAACAGTCTATTCCAGGGCTAGGGAGCCTGGGGCCCCACAAATCTTACTGAAGTCCAACTTTCAGTATGGCCAGTGGACAGTAATGATGGGAGTTGTAGTTTTACCCTATCTGGAGGGCCACAGGCTCCACAACCCCGGGCATGGTTTCAGTCCATTCTCCATGCTCCCATGATTTCAGTGAAAAAAGGACCCCCAAGGTAGCTTATAAATAGAACAAAGCATAAAACTATACTATATCTCCTGCATCATGAATCCCTCTTCAGTTTGTGCTGTGGATAAACAACATTCCTCTGGTAAATATGCTTCAAGTCCTGAGTTACCTTGACAGGGCTCCAAGGCAGTAGGAAGTTGTACAAATCCTGCCGACCTAGTTCTTTGTGTAACTTGGGGAGCTGCCATCCGCATTGTGTTTGTGACACAGGAGTGCTTCTGCCTGTCAATAGTTATGTCTAAAAACACGATGTGGAAAGAGGAATGTAAGCTGTGTTCAGGAAGGGTACACTGACTGACGGGTGTTGCCAAAGGCAGAAGAAGCAGATGTTGCCAAGAGAGATGGGAGCGGCTTGGCAGCATCCACAGGGTGTGGGCCAGCCCTTTCCAACAGACACAGCAGCGAGTTCTGAGGAATCCAAAACGAATCAGGGCTGCAAGTATTTGCCTATTTAAAACAACCCGATGAACTTCAACTTTCCACCCAGAAGATACTGTTCCTTCTCTCTGCCAGTTCATTTCCTTCCCCACTGCCATTTTCCTCCCATTTCTTTGAACCGCTAAGCCTTTTAAAAAAGCCCTTTCCTACCTTCCTACTCTTCTCTCTTTTGACATGCTGTGTTCCCAAACCCCAGCTGCGCCTCGTCTTACAGCTTTGCTTTTTATTTCTCCCCTCCAAACCCAGATTGGAGCACCTCTGCGAATCACAGTTGACGATCCTTACTGTTAGAGCAGTTTAGTCACTGGTAGAAGGACTTTTCTGTGAGCCCCACACCTCTGCAACATTGCCACAGCTTATTCAGTTGTTGCAAGAGGTGCCAATGGCATATAATATTTGAAGCAACTTTCAGACCCTTATCGGAGGACGGGATATAACTCTAGCCATATTGTTATCAGGAAACATCAAGTAACATTTCTGGTGCTTTTTATATGGGCTTCCTTGCCAGTATTTGAAACTCTGGTATAAGCTAGATGCCAAACAGCACCTTAAACCTAGGTTGCGCTTGCCACAGTGGAATGTCTTGTTTGTCCGGGGGTTGGAATAAATCACCCTCAGGGTCCCTTCCAGCTCTACAGTTCTATGATTCTATGATCTCAGCTACATTGTTTGAATGCAGCTTTCTCTTACAACAATTCTCTTGTCCCAGTATTCAAGAAGAAGAAACACACAAAGTGGAAATGGCAATGAACCATGAACTAAGGCAGAAGTTTTTAAATGCTGATTGCTGGGTTCCATTTGGGTGCCTTGTGGAAAGCAGTCGTGTGTGTGTGTGTGTGTGTGTGTGTGTGTGTGCGCGCGCGCTTGCGCTTCTGAAATACCACTTGTTGGAAGCTGCAAGAGAAATTGCCTCCTCTTAAATGTTGTAATAGCTTTATGAATAGGCTTATTAGTAGCCTTTTGAAGTTACCAAAAATATTTCATTTGACTGAATTGTGTATGTGTGTGTGTTTCATCACAATCTGATAGAAGTGGTGGTTAATCACATCTAAATTAATTTAAGTGCTTGCTGCACTAGATCATTTTAGTGGGTCTGGCTTCATCGTTGAAACAGATGGGTTGTGCAGCTGAGATGCTTGATGGATCCATCCTTGGTACACTGAATCAATTGATTGCTGGCAACCTTGCTCATAATTCAGGTAGCAATATGTGATATTTTAGGAATAGTTTTATTAATAACCACGTAGCCCTTTTTGTAATACTGCTTGAGTGTTCAGAGTGTTGAATCATATTTACAGCCTTGCAAGGCAGATGTGGGGGAACATTTGACCCTCCTCATGTTTGCTGAACTGCAGCTCCCATCAGCCCCAGCAAGCATGGCCAATGGGTATTGTAGTTAAGCAATATCTGGAGAGCCGAAGAGCCCCCACACTTGTTGTAAGATAAGATCTATATTAACATAAGCTGTGCAGGATCAGACAAAAGACCCCTCTCATCTGACAGGTTTACCACACTGGTAATGTCACCCAGAGAACCTAGATTTGTAGGGCTATTAATTAATTAATAAATGCCTCCTGGAAAACCTCCAGAGCTGGCTATTAATTTATGTATTTATTTCAATAATTCATATCTTCCGAGAGAGTCTCGGCAGCTTACATCCTTCATCAAACACAAAACAATACCTTAGCTGCAAGCATCATTTGAAAACTGCCTTTCAACTCCCCATTAGTCACTTTTATGCTGGCTGTTCTGTTTTCTTCACTATCTTCCATCTTGCCTTTCACTCCGCTAGTTCGAATGCCACAGGAGCTCCCTTCCAATTCTCCTCCCACAAAACCCAGCACACTGAGCCCTGAAAATCACCCTCCACCTTCCAAATAGTTCACTTTATAGCGAACTATAACTATATACTCTCCTACACATTTCTCAACAATTCACTGCCTCTTGCTGCCAAATCATTCCTCACGGCACTCCTGTGCCAATCCTCCCTAAAGTTCCACAAACCTCCCTTTCATCTCGCCCAACCTTTCAGTGCTGTAGTCAAAACTCCTTCTGAAGTCAACAGCCCCTGCTCCTTATCAGTAGCATATTGAACCGTCACATTGTGGTTGGTGCGGGCAGACCTGTTTTCCTTGAATTTCTCCAATCGCCTTTTATTACGTCTGTACATTGCCTTTCCAGCATAAGCTACCCAAGGTAGCTAAGATTAAAATGAACTCTTTAAAGGTTATATATTAAACAATATTGATATAATGGTTAGTATCAGACTAGGATCTGGGAGCCCAGAGTTTGAATTCCCACTCAGCCATGAAGCTCACGGGGGACTTTGCGCCTCTCACCGTGAACTCCTGCCAGGAGAAGTGGGATATAAATGTAGTATTAATAATTGTGTGTATGAAAACGGGGGGTGGGGGGTGGAAATCACAGTTTGTTGTGAAATGGTGGCCACTCGGTCACATTTTGGATTAGCCCTAGGTGTGCACAGTAGTTCTAAGTTGACAAAATTGCCTCTCAATTTGAGGAGACATACTACCCTTCAGCAAAGCAAAGCAAAGCAAAAACGAACATTTGCAGTATATTTGATTTTTAGAACAATTCTTGGCTCAGCTGGTGAATTTCCTTGTAATTGCCACAACACAGAGAATTTTTAGGGTAGAAATTCTGCAGAGAAGGGTGCACGTGACGAAGTGGTAACAGAAGTGAAACTACCGAAAATAATGATTTTGCATAGACTTTTCTCTGTCTTCTTTAAACAAATGGGAGGGGGGGATTGGAAGGTGAGCTCATATTACAGAAGCGATGCTGCAGATCCAGGGTATCTTGTACAGTGGTAAAGGTAAAGGGGACCCCTGACCATTAGGTCCAGTCGTGGCCGACTTTGGGGTTGCAGCGCTCATCTCGCTTTATTGGCCAAGGGAGCCGGCGTACAGCTTCCGGATCATGTGGCCAGCATGACTAAGCTGCTTCTGGCGAACCAGAGCAGTGCACAGAAACGCCGTTTACCTTCCCACGAGAGTGGTACCTATTTATCTACTTGCACTCTGACGTGCTTTTGAACTGCTAGGTTGGCAGGAGCTGTTGATTTAAGCAGAGTCTGTCGTGCCCAGCGGAAGGATGAGAATACGTGCTACATACTCTATATTGCTTTATTTACAGTTCAAAGCTGGTATATTACAGAAAGACATCTTGCCTCTGCATGAGCAGAGAAATGCATCCTCTCTCCTCAACAGCTCGGAGAGAATCACACAGTGAAAAACAGGAAACCAGTGTACGTCACATCCAGTCTCCCTTTCCCGTGAGAAACTCCAACAGTACAGACTGTGGAATGTAAACACCTGTCTTGTGACTGCAGTTGCTGCTCAGTGAAGGAAATAGAAACCAACATCCTCCCCCTTTCTGTGAACATCACTGGGCAGCGTGTTTGCACAATATCAGTACAAACCCAACTTCTGCACATAGGTACAGTGTTGATCCCTTGATACAATCTTGGACAATACATCAGCAGGAATTTCATTACCTGGCATATAGGACACCGTTACGAGTCCCTTCTGAATACATTCCCTAGCATGCTGCAACTTTAATTGCAAGTGCTTTGTGCTTTGCTTACAACCTTCAGACTTCAGCAAAGCCAAACATGCTTTGTTGTCCTGGTAAACCTGGATTGGACATTTGACAGGAATTTTCATATCTTTGCACAATTGTACTAACCATTCACAATCCTTAAGTGAATAAGACAGTGCATTCAGTTCAGCTTCACAAGTACTTAAGCTAACTGTTGTTTGCTTCTTGCATGACCAATCAAACAGACTCTGATTGTACATATAGCAAACTCCAGACGTACTTTTCCTGTCTGTAGCGTCACTTCCAAAACTTGCATCTGCAAATATCTCAAGACCACCAGACTTCTGATTGTTAAATCTCAGTCTGTAATGCATAGTGCCTTTCAAATACCGCGCTATGCGTTTCAGAGCTTTCAATCCTTGACACTAGGATTGTTGACTTGTCTGCTTAGCAAATTACAGCTAACAGCAATGTCTGGTCTTGAACATCTGGCAATGAAGTTTAGCTTGCCTAGCACACTCCTGTACAGTGTAGTGTCAGAAAATGCTTCTTCAGTGTCATCTACCTGATAACCTGTTGTCATCGGTGTGTCTACAGGGTTAGCATCCATCAGATTTAGTTTGCTTAACACATCAGCAATTTTCCGTGACTGGTGTACTAGAATGTTACCATCTTGATCTCTCTCTATTTCCAGAGATAGGTAGTTGTTTACCTCACCAAGATCTTTCATGTCAAAGTGCTCTTTCAGTTGAGCTAGGGCGCTATTGTACATTGCGACATCTTTCCAAAAGAATAATAAATCATCAACATAAAACAAACAGTACAGTTTCTTTTGCCCCTCCTCTTTGACAAATACACATGGATCAGCTTTCCCTTGCTGAAAACCTAGAGAAAACAATACTTCAGTGAGTTTTGTGTGCCAACACCGTGCACTTTGTTTGAGACCATAAAGGGATTTCTTCAGAGCACAAACAAATCCCTGTTTTACCTGTACGCCATCAGGTGGAAGCATATAAAGTGATTCATCTAGAGATCCGTACAGAAAAGCTGTATTAATATCATGGTGACTAATGTGTAGATTTTCCTCTACAGCTAGCTTGAGCATAAACCTAATGCTTTCATATCTCACTGTGGGTGAATAGGTCTCGTGATAGTCTTCACCTGGTACCTGTGCAAAACCTCTGGCTACCAATCTGGCTTTGTGTCTGACTATCTTGCCATTTTGATCTGTCTTCGCTTTGAAGACCCATTTGCTTCCAAGCAGTTTCATTCCTGGAACTACTGGAACTAGCTCCCATGTTTTGTTCCTTTCTAAGGAATCAAGCTCAGCCTTCATGGCATTTAACCATGGCTCAGCTTCCTTTGAATCCAAACCCTGGATTTCTTGAAAACTTGAAGGTTCAAATACCTTCTTGGAGCTTTTAACAGCTGTTACTGCTATCGTAGCAAACTCATCAGCAAATCTCTTTGGAGGTTTGCCTTTTGTGGCTCTCTGTGACCTACGAATTAGCCTTAAGTCTTCAACACTCTCCTCTTCCTTCTTAGGAGAAAAACGACCTATTGTGAACAATGGTTCCTCCAATTCTTGATCAGAGCTTTCAGAGGGTCGCATAGAGGCTTTCGCACTCTTGAAATCCTCTGAATCACCCGATTCAGTTTCAGATTCAGACTCAGAACCTTCATCAGTGGGTGTGGGCTGTTGTGGTTGCTTTGACTATCCTCAGTCTCATCACCGTCATCAGGATAACATTGGAAAATTCCCACATTCTCCCCCACTTTGCATTGTACTCAACACTTCTCGTGAGCTTAATTGTCTTAGAGTCAGTCATCATTATTCTGTAAGACCCTTTCTGATAACCTAGAAAGATACCATGCAATCCACGCTTGTCTAACTTGGAGTTTTGTGGTGAGTGAACCCACATGTCAGAACCAAAAATCTTCATGTGTTTGATGTATGGCTTCTTGCCAAACATCTTTTCATAGGGGGTACACCCAATCGCTGAAGATAACCTGCGATTGTAACTGTAAACAAAACACGAGAGAGATTCGGCCCAATAACTCTCTGGAAGATTGGCATCATGCAGCAAGGTTTTTAACCCTTGAAGCAATGTCTGATTTGCCCGTTCCGCAAGTCCATTCTGCCATGGCGAGCGAGGACTAGACAAATCGTGTTGAATTCCTTTCTCAGTCAGAAAAGCTTCAAACTGCTGAGAAGTGAATTCCCCGCGATCACTGAAAAGAGTCTTTATCTTCTTACCATGCACATTTTCCAACCAAGCACAGAATTCCTTGAACCTAGGAAAAGCCTCCGATTTCTGCTTGAGATTGTACACAAAAATATATCTAGAAAATGCATCAATGAGAACCATGAAGTATCTATTTCCACCCAAAGAGGGCGCGAGTGGTCCAACCAAATCAGCATGAACAACCTGGTATGGTTCTGTAGCTTTCCTACTAGACACCTTACCTTTCGCAGCCATTTTCACCTTGTTTGCTGCGCATGCTTTGCACTTCATGTGGTACCTGCAGGGTTTAATAGTCATACCTTCAACCAAGGCAGGCATTTTAGATACTGCCTCAAAATGCAAATGACCAAATTTGCGATGAAAATCGTGAATACATTCTGCATGCAAACTTTTGTTAGAACCTGCAATGCAACAAGTGTCATCCTGCACCACATCATCATAATACAAAACAAACAAATGATCAACATATTCTGCATGCAATACATAATCATTTTTCTTTGTGATGATGCACTTCTTGTTCTTGAAGGAAACGTCAATGTTCCGCTCATTCAGCTGTCCAACGCTGAGCAGATTATGTTTGGCGTCTGGCACGTAAAGCACATTCTGTATCGATAAGTCCAAACTGTGAAGAACAACAGTTCCGTAGCCTTTACTGGGAATAGTGTGGTCATCCGCCTGGTGAATCGCACCTTCCTGCGGTGTAAAAGACACAAACAGTTTCTTATCGTTGCACATGTGGTGGGTGGCCGCTGAATCAACAACGAAGAAAGATCTAGACGTCTTCTGGACCTCTGCAACCTTTGGAGTGAAGCGTGAAACCATAGCCTTGTGCTGCGTTGTCCTAGACACCGGACCTTTGCCTTTGTCTCGGCCTTTTCCGCGCGATGAGCTTTCGCTGCGCTGCTCTGTCTTGGCCCTGGGATGTCTGCATTCCCTCTTCATATGGCCTAGACGTCCACACGAGTCGCATTTCACTGCCTTCAAAGCTTTGGCGCCATCTGGTGGTTCCACTGCACTATGGGATGACGTCTGTGAAGACGCCCCCATGCCCATGCAGCTAGCACCCGGCGATCTGCTTCATTTAAAATTACGGCAGTAACAAAGTCCACTGTCAGCTGAGCAGTTGGTTGCACAGCAATCTGGGTTGCAACAGACTCCCAACCTGAACCCAAAGATTGTAGTATCATGAAAGAATACACAGCCTCTGGAAAGTTGAGTCCTCTCTGTTGCAGCTCATGTCTCAGATTTTGCATCTCCATTAGATGTAAACGCACATCTCCACCTTCAGCAAGAGCCATATTATGCAGCTTGTTAAAGTAAAACATAGTTGATCCAGCTTCTGTCCTTAAGTGAGCCTCTCTCAGAGCGTCCCAAATTTCTCTGGCTGAGGTCTTATCACGCAATAGACAGAGCTCTTCTGGGGATACTATCAATGTAAGAGTTCCCCTTGCTTTGGAATCCTTAGCTTTCCATGCATCTGTAACTGGAACTGGGGGGGTTCCTGTAATCACCTCAAACAAACCCTCTTTCCGCAGAATTGCCTCTGCATACTGAACCCAGTCGCTATAATTATTCTTGTTGAGCTTAGGAATCCTACAAGCATCCTGAAGGGCCATCATGACTCTGGCATTAGCCTTCAGCGTCATATGCTGCTTTAATTCTTGCTGCGTCACTGCTGCAGCTGCCTCATTACAAAGGCACACTTAAAAGTTACTTTCGATTTCCCCAGCATAGTGACTTGTGCCTGGGAGCCTTTTGCCTATTCCCGGCAAAACCGGCTTTAAAAGTTCAAAGTCCAGCCATAAAGCCATTAATTTGAAGCTGGCAGGCTGCCCGGAGCAGTAGCACATACCTCATCAATCACTTCTACGCGCAGAGCAGATTCCTTTCCGATCCGTCCCTCTGCATTCCGATCCTTTGCCGGCACTCCGATTCGACCTCTGGAGTCCATAACCACGTGTTGATTTAAGCAGAGTCTGTCGTGCCCAGCGGAAGGATGAGAATACGTGCTACATACTCTATATTGCTTTATTTACAGTTCAAAGCTGGTATATTACAGAAAGACATCTTGCCTCTGCATGAGCAGAGAAATGCATCCTCTCTCCTCAACAGCTCGGAGAGAATCACACAGTGAAAAAACAGGAAACCAGTGTACGTCACATCCAGTCTCCCTTTCCCGTGAGAAACTCCAACAGTACAGACTGTGGAATGTAAACACCTGTCTTGTGACTGCAGTTGCTGCTCAGTGAAGGAAATAGAAACCAACAGGAGCAGGGACCGAGCAACGGGAGCTCACCCCATCGCTGGGATTCGAACCGCTGACCTTCTGATCGGCAAGCCCTAGGCTCTGTGGTTTAACCCACAGCGCCACCCGCGTCCCCTGTACACTGGTACCTTGGGTTAAGTACTTAATTTGTTCTGGAGGTCCGTTCTTAACCTGAAACTGTTCTTAACCTGAAACACCACTTTAGCTAATGGGGCCTCCCACTGCCGCCGCGCGATTTCTGTTCTCATCCTGAAGCAGAGTTCTTAACCCAAGGTACTATTTCTGGGTTAGCGGAGTATGTAACCTGAAGCGTATGTAACCTGAGGTACCACTGTACGACCCTTTCCCTCCCCAAGAGAGATCTCTGAATAGGACCTCAGAGGAAGCATGCCAAGCGGCTTATAAGGCATTCCTGTTCAAAAGGCATAGCTGTTCAGTTTCTCCATGAGTAAGTCATCTGGATAGCTTAAAGGAATTGCCTTACATGGAAGATCTGAGCTGCTGTGAAATGCAAGCTATATTGGGTAGAAAGAGTAACTGGGAAAAAATAGCTCAACCTTTCAAAAACTTGATATGAGGATGGTGCCTACCCTCCTGCTCATCTTTCCTACACTGCTACTTCTTTCAGGCTTTGCATATCTCTGCAGCCGCTGCTCTGGCTTGCTGGTTATCCTCTCCACCACTTTGGTGGAGCTATTCCAGTGGGACCAGTGCCACACATAGAGCCAGTACCACAGGTAGAGCCATGTGCTTGACCATGGCACTGCATTGCTTTTGAGTTTCTAGTACTGTGGCCTTCAGAGGCACGGCTGGTGTTGGCAGAGGACAAGAGTGTCTACTAGTGGTGGACCCTCACAATGGGATTCCTTCCCAAGGAAGTCCCAGTCACCCACACCTTGCAGGCTTTTGCAAAGATAGCCGAAAGCTTATTTCGGGCTGACTAAACAATTTTAATTATTTTAACAGGGATTATTATTTTGTTGTTTTGGCATTTGTTTTTGATTAAGCGCTTGAAATAGTTCTGAAACTTCATTATTTCGTACTGAACGCAGTAACTCTGTATTGGAATTGCTAGCAGTTGTTAACTGCTTGCAAACCACTGCTTTTCAACCTTTGGACAGCTCCTGCCACCCCCAGCCACCTTGGCCAATGGACAAAGAGGATGGGAGTTATAGTGCAACATCATCTGGGGGCTCAAGGCTGAAGAACACTGTTGTAAACCACCTATGGAGCCTCTTCTAGCACTGAATGTCAGATTAAAGGGGTCCCCACCCCTTTTAAAGTGCAGTTATGAAGGCTATGTGGTTGAGGTTCTTTCTCCCATCTAGACTAAAAACCTGTGGCGTTTTTCAGGTGGCTAGGAGAGTGGTATGGTGGCTCTATCTTCAGGTAGTGACTTGGAGGCAATAATTCCTCAGTGAAAACACAAGGCAAAATACACATGGTCTTAAATACTTATGCTTAACTTCATTTCCGCAGGATAAGTTCAGAACGCAGAAAGGAGAAGTCCAGAGATGCAGCCAGGTGCAGGAGGAGTAAGGAATCGGAGGTGTTCTATGAACTGGCTCACCAGTTGCCTCTTCCCCACCATGTGAGCGCACATCTCGACAAAGCCTCAATTATGAGGCTAACAATCAGCTACCTGCGCATGAGAAAACTGCTTGATGCAGGTGAGATTTTACAGGTGAAGTAGGATGGAGTGAAAAGTAGGGTTTGGAACAATTCGGTGAATCAGAAGTTTTAACTCTTGTGTTTGTGTTGCAATGATCTGAAATTGCATCATTTCCCAGCAGCTTAATTTCACTCCCCACCCCCTGCAGGTCAGGAAGGTCATTTCGTGAAATAATTGGAGGGGAAAACTCAAGAACTATCTTTTTTTCAGTGGTTGGAGCTCAAAGTGTGCCATCCTCTCACCCTCAACCCCTGTGACGTTGCTTTTGCTAGAGAATGTTACCTCCACAAAATGATGAGCTCTGGAAGAGATAACAGACTTGCTACATTTTGTTAAAGAATGACAGCAACACAAGCTTTTTCGAGGTTTATTTGCATATATACCCTGCTCGGTTAAATTGCCACTGTTTTCACATATTTTCTCAGCTGCCTCTGCCATCTCTTAAAAGCCCATTTTATGTACCTTTTACATAACCTTTAATACCTGGTTTATGCGGAGACAGACAGTAAAAGGACCAGGGCATGGTTTGAAGGCACACGGTGCTCTAAACTTACTGAAACTAGTTTGCTCTGTGCTTGGATGGCACATACTGTAAGTTCCTGATTTACCTGAGAGAGCCAAACATGTGTGATCTCATCCACTTATGTACTTAAGTACTTATTGGGGTGAGGACTTTTCCCTGAGAAATTTGTGATGTTAAGTTATGTGAGTAGCATAGGTCATAAGTACATATTAAAATTGGAACAGACACCATAGTAGTAATATCAATATCAGTCCATGTCTTGTTCTAACATACAAAATCAAGTATTCTTCATTTTTTCGTTAAATTGGTTCTCCTGTTTTACTTCACAGACTTTTATTAGTTTTGCTATAGTGATGAATATCTCAGATACTGGAGTGTTGAGGCAATAATCTAATAATAATAATAATAATAATAATAATAATAATAATAAATTATTATTATAAACAACTGCCTTTCCTTTCAAGAAGAAATATAGAGGTGATTCACAAACAAACAAATTTATTATTTATACCCTACCCGTCTCAGGTATAAAAGCCAAGAAGCAAAATAATAATAGTTTAAACCAATTACAAAATATAGAGCTACCTGTAATTAAAATACATAGTAAAACAAGTGAATTAAAGCACCCATAATTAAATATACAATGAACAAGCTATTTAAAACAACAAAACAGTTAAAGCAGTTAAACAACAATCAGAGTAAGAGATTCAAATCTAGGGATCTGGAAAATTGAATGCACTGGCTTCATTTCCCAAATCTTTGACCAGGCATTATCCTCAGATTGGTAACCAGTATCCTTCTCCCAACATTCCTTTAGACCCTGTAGGTTTCCCATATTGAATTTAATTAGTTGATCATGTACTCTTGCAGTCACATCCTTAGTATCAATATTGTATGTTCAAAGTCAGTCAAGGTTTTAGTGTCCTCTGAAATCTAAAATTTTGACTTTATAATGTATAATGTCCCTTATGAGCCTTCAGGCTACAAGAAGCCTTCATAAAGAAAATCTTGAGCTTTTATGTAGGTTCTTCAACTTTCATCTTTGATTAGCACCAACTTTCCACCTTGAAAGTGTTATTATGACTGGTGTATTTTAGCGATGATATGAATGAGTGCTGGTGGAATCAAACAGGAAATATGAACATTGGTGACCGACCAAATTTGTCTAATGCCTAGGTGTCTGAAATCTAATGTATAGATGTCTGAATGTCTAGGTGACCTGGAGGCAGAAGCTGAAATGGAGACACAGCTGAATTGCTTTTACTTAAAAGCTCTTGATGGATTTGTCATGGTTCTCTCTGAGGATGGAGACATGATCTACATGTCTGAAAATGTGAACAAGTGCATGGGGCTCACACAGGTAGGAAACCAGCATCTCCTCCCATTGCTTTAGCTAAAATAAAATATTTTCCTACAATACAGCCACAATCCCATTAACTTAAAAGTACTGAACCTGGGTTGTGTCCAGTGTTTTGTCTGGAAAACACACTACTAGACTGAACTTTTTCTTTTGCAGTTCGAGTTGACCGGACACAGTGTGTTTGATTTCACTCATCCGTGTGACCAGGAAGAGCTGAGAGAAATGCTCACCCACCGGAATGGTAAAACAGAGACTTTCAAACTTTTAACTTCAGGTCACATGCCTCATCTGATTGCTTGCTACTAATTATGCTTGATTGATTGAAGGATTAGCCTAACCCAGGATACCTAAATTAAGTCTGAAACACCCAAGGCTGCTTTTCAAAAGTTATGAAAAGTTTTTAAATTGCATAGTTTGTTATGTTGTACTTTTCTGACTGTTGTAAGCTTCCTTGCAAGGGTTTGAACCCTAAAAGGTGGGAGTTACGCAAATAAAACACAGACTTTAATATATTGATGCAATGTGTGACTTGAGCAACCCTCACATAGATCTAGACATGCCTGGGCTGTACTTGTGCAAAATCCTCACTTTTGAGGGCCTGGGGAGCCAGCCACTTGTAAAATGAGTAGTGCTGTACACTCATAGACCCAACCCTTCCCATGCCACTGATGGATTGAGGAGTTTATATGAATCAAATCTATGTGCCTGTGGCCCCACACACATATATGATCTTCAGGCAGGAGAGAATTTGAACCAGTACTGAGGATGCAAAATACTTAGCAACACTTGGTCTTGAGTGCCACTGTTTCATCAAGTGAAAAGTTTGGGATGTGGAGCAACCACGGTTACATCAGCACAACGAGGGATAAATTGTGCCTTTTGACATAAAGTGCCATAGCTTACTACAGGGAATTTTTACTTGGAACGGTGGGATTACAACTTAAGCAGGATCAGTGTGCTGCATTTGCCTCACACCGGATATTGTTGCTGCAGTTACTTTCACAAACTAATTTGTGTGCCTCGTCGCAAGTGTACTTATCTGTCGCTTCATGCCATGGGAAGCTCTGAGCAAATATCAGTACCCTGTACTGGTTTTCTCACCTGCAAAACAGTTCATCTATCTTAATGATACGATCTGTTTTCTGCATGTGCTTGAGAAGTACATTTAAGTACCTCTTGAAGATAAACTAAATCTGGTTTGACCTGCCTCGGGATTTGTTTGTTTGTCTTTAATTAAAAGAGGGGAGAGGCATTCTAAAACAACCTTGATACTATTCTGTTAATCCACCCACTTCTGAGTTGTTGTCCTCTAGGCCTTTTAAATTTTCATCTACACTGAGCACCTGTCTCCCACAATATTGACTACTTCTGTATTAATTGCCGCATTTCCTGAAACTGACATAGTAGGCATTTTCTCAACTCCAGCAGTTTCTACAGCATTAGACACCCTCCGAAACCCTCCAAAGTGCTTTAAACTCTGCTGGAAAAGAAACCGTAAAAGTATTTTTGCTGCATTAAATCTGTATTTCAGTTGTTGCCTTCTGGATTCAATATTGCATGAAGTAGTGTATGATACTGATATTTAACACTCTTGCATTAGGTCCTGTGAAAAAAGGGAAGGAACATAACACGGAGCGCAGCTTTTTCCTCAGAATGAAGTGTACATTGACCAGCCGAGGAAGAACTGTGAATATAAAGTCTGCCACATGGAAGGTAATCATACATGTGCTCTCAAAGCAACAGACTTTGACGTTGGAATGGCTGGTGTGGTGTCAAGATTTACAGTAGACCCCGCAGCTTACACACATGTGTACATGTTTAGCTGTACGCACTTGGTAAACAATTAAAAAAAAAAAATAGAGGAGGAAGGCACCTGGGGGGGAAAGAATTTAGCAATCCCACCAGCCATTGAACCCAATGTTTTTTGCAGTCGGTGAGCCTTTGAGGAGCATCAAAGTAATGCTCGAATTAGTAATGGCTTTTGCTGCAAATTAGATACATAAGCTTGCTGCCTTTTGATGTTCCTCAGGTAATTAGAGTTGGTAGCTAAAGTTCAGTTGCCGAATGGTGAGGCTCCTTGTCATACAAGACCCCTTTCAACTTGTGTTGTTTGATTCCCTCCGTTACTTTGTCCTATATGTTGACCAGTAAACACACAAGATGTAACCGGTTGTACTTTTGAATAAATAAGGTATACTGTTCATTGTATCTAATTGTAGTATACCTTATTTATTCAAAAGTACAGCCGGTTACGTCTTGTGTGTTTATTGAGTATGTTTCACGTAATCATAGGTTTGTTGTTGTTTTGCTATACGGTAACCAAGCTCCCTTTTCACCCCAACACCCAGGTACTTCATTGCACAGGGCACATTCGCGTCTATGACAATTCCAACAACCAGACAGTGTGTGGATATAAAAAGCCCCCCATGACATGTTTGGTGTTAATCTGTGAACCCATCCCCCATCCATCAAATATTGAAGTCCCCTTGGACAGCAAGACGTTCCTCAGCCGCCACTGCCTTGACATGAAATTTTCATACTGTGATGAAAGGTAAAAGCTCTGAGTGAAAGTAAGGGGTGCCTGGCTTTTCGTGTGAACGGTGGTAGGTGGACCTGCGTGTTGTTACTAGCCTTGTCTGTTTCCTTGGCACTTTATTTGGCAAGAGTTAAACAGGTAGGTCCTTGGGTGCACCCTTAAGTTTTGCAACTCCAGAATCTGAAAACTGATGATGCAAAATGCTTTCCAGATAAATTACGTGATGAATGTTCCATTTTAAGTTATGCTTACCCTTTTCATAAGCTTGTAACCAAAATCAAGGTGGTTTTTAAAAAAAACTTATTGAGGCAAGAATGCACTACATTGCCACCCAGTGGCCAAAAGAATGGAATACTTTATGCTAGCCAGTAACTAAAACATGGCACTTCTAAACATTCAACTTGGAGCAGAAGTGATTCTCACCCTGAACACTAAGGGCATTTTATGTAGTTTCTGTTACACCTTTATGTAAAACATTTTCATCCCATGATATTATGCCCTGGATGCATCTTATCTAAAACTCAAAGGAACAAAACACTCACTAAGAGTCAGAATATGATGCATGGCGATGGCAGTTATTCTTGGAACTTGTGGCAGGCTGAAATTGGTGGCATGAATTGGACTTAAAAGTTGTACTTGAATTCACAGACCTGAAGACCTTCTGTGTTAAATTACTGCTAGTTGTGATAAGGAGGCATATATCTGCTACAGTGGTGCCTCGCAAGATGAAATTAATCCATTCCAAGAGTCTCTTCGTCTTGCGGTTTTTTCGTCTTGCGAAGCACGGCTATTAGCAGCTTAACGGCTTAGCGGCTATTAACGGCTTAGCGGCTTTAAGAAAAAGGAAACAAACCCGCAAGAACTCGCAAGACGTTTCGTCTTGCGAAGCAAGCCCATAGGGAAATTCGTCTTGCGGAACGACTCAAAAAACGGAAAACTCTTTCGTCTTGCGCGTTTTTCGTCTTGCGAGGCATTCGTCTTGCGAGGTACCACTGTATGATAAAAAGCAAAATGTAGGAGGAAGACATACCTATGTATTGGCTGTATCATTGCATTTGCGGAATGACACCAGTGGAACCTCCCTTCTCCATGTGTCACTTGCCCCAAAATTTTGCTCTGGAAGGTTGAAGGGACACCCCTGAAGCATATTTTTTGGGTAGGGGGAGCAGAGGGCGGGGAAGTTCTGTTGCACTTGCAGAAGTCATTTTGCACAAGCAACAATTTAGTTGGGCATGATGAGAATCTTGGAGGGCCTTGGTTATCAGTGTCTTGATTAGATTAGGGAAACTACTTCCCCATTTTTTGAAAAATGAGTTGTTTACAGGGAACACACAGGCTGGATCTAGACACATCAAAGAAGCGTTTCAGTTTAAAGCATTGTAAATTTAAAGAGGGAAAACAGGTAGAGAAAAACAGGACCCCAAGTCACCATCTGGTGGCACAAAATTATATCACACATGCAACACACATAAATCACTTTTTCTTTACCAGTCTAGCTGAGTCCTCATTTAATATGGGAAGTGACATTAATTCATCCGGCTGTTCCGAAAAGCCACAAGCCACTTATTTGCTAATGTAGCTAACCAAGTGGCTTGTGTTTGTTTCAGTAGCTCGCAGACTGGCTGTGGTTTTCCTTGAAGTCACCTGCCCTTATTAAAAAGCAAAATACCTGACCTTAAATAGAGTTTTATCTGCCCTGCAATATGTAGAAATATTACTGAATTAACACCCTTTCCCCCTTTTGTTTCAAGGATTACGGAACTGATGGGATACAACCCCGATGAGCTCCTGGGTCGCTCCATATATGAATATTATCATGCCCTGGACTCTGATCATCTGACCAAAACACATCATGACAGTAAGTGAGGGGGGTGTGGCTTTAGAAATGAGATAGTTGCAGGCTGAAGCACACTCCCTGTTGCTTACGTCTAGCTATCATGCGTCATAGTGCCAGCAACATTCTAAAAGCTATGGATTGTTTCACTGTTAACCATTTTAGACATTTCCTAACAATGTAAATAATGTGTGTCTTTCTGCTTCCAGTGTTCGCTAAAGGACAGGTGACCACCGGGCAGTACAGAATGCTTGCCAAACATGGGGGCTATGTTTGGGTCGAGACTCAAGCAACCGTCATATACAACAATAAGAATTCTCAGCCACAGTGTATAGTGTGTGTGAATTATGTCTTGAGGTGAGCTTTCTGTGTTACCTGTGGGTATTTAGGGGTGGGTGTTTTTCGATGCCAAAGATCAGTCTAGTGACATCAGTATGCCCAAACAGCCTGGCTATCTCTCTCTCTCTCTCTCTCTCTCTCTCTCTCTCTCTCTCATAAAATACTGTTGCCTTTGCTAGCAAAACATATTTCCTTCCAGTTTAAGGGAAGCTGTGAAAACCTGTCATGTGAATGCATAATTCATATAACCCAGTTTGTATGTGTGTTTGCCCATTTTCATATTATGCTGTCAGAGATGCCCAAGGAAATTGCTAACAAGGCTAACTAGAAAATGGTAACATCTTGAGTTGTACCATAGCTCCTTTATTCCTATGGATTGCCTCATTTTGTATTGGGGGCAGTTAAAGTGTGTGTGTACACACACACACACACACACACACACACACACGTAATATTCACCCAATGTACATACATTTTTATAGCTTGGATTGTGCCTGAATTGTGCTGCATATATATTAAAAATGAAAAACACCAGTAGACACATGTATCTGTAAATGCATCCTAGTCTGCTTGTGTGCAGTCCAGTCCATCATGCAGACTCCCACAGGGCATATTAACCCCATTAATACAAATAGCAGAACTGCCATTGCAGGGAACATGCCTGGGTTAAATGTCTGCACATGCCACCTGCACAATCTATCTGCCTTGCAATTTAATAATTCTCTGGAACTCAAGTACCGTGCAGCATTCAGAAATGGAACGCTGAATGGACCCACCAGTACCTTCTAATGCCTTACACCATTGTGTATGTTAACACCCATGTGCATATGTATTGCGTGCATGTGGGGGGGGCGGGGAAGGGTAAATGAGGCTTAATTGAGCCATGGAGGGCAATGTTCTGTGAACAACCACTGCGCCTGTGGTGAGACCTCATAGTGCGTGCTCTTAGTATATAGTGCACTAAAAGAACAATCTATAGAAGGATGCATCTATATTCATTAACAGAAACAGATATCTGTCATACCATATTTGCCTCTTCATTAGGGCTTTTCCAAACAAGTAGAAAGTTGTTTTTGTTTTTAAAAAAGGTTCTATAGAACTCTGTGTTCTACCTTAAAGGTTGTAAACTACAAATATCTTCCTATCTTATAATGCTTAAATATATAAAACAAAATATATAGGGAGAAACAGCTTATCAACTGTGTAGATGGCTACAGTGTTACGGCTTTCATCAAGAGAACATACCTTGGATAAATTAATGTGGCCTGAGATGTTACCCTTTGCATACTAATCTCTATTTTATCTGCATCCTTCAGATTTGTTCTCATATTGCACTAATCCGGAAAGCCTCTTGCCAGGCTACTAATGAACATGTCCAACCCACTCTTACGAGTTTGCTAACCACTGAGTTCAGGCTAATTCCCAAGTAAGTGTTGCAGTGGTTTTAGAGTATTGTTCTGGGTTCCTCAATGAGAAGATGTGTAGCAGGAGACCAGTTTCCTGGAAAATCAGCTTGCCCGCTACTAGCAATCTTTCCCTGCAATGTGCAACCATAGGGGGAAGTGTTTGATGTGTTCTGTAGGTAGGTGTGGTCAGTTCACCATATGGACTGAGTTAACACCATAAAATTCTCTGCAACGAGCAGGGGTCCTGCGGCAGGAAAGTGATAGAAAGTGTTGGAAGCCACTAATGTGATAAACTTAGGGAATCAAAGGCTACAAGGTGCTCTCTGACATTCCTCCTCTTCTCTTCTGCAGTGGCATTGTTCAGGGCGATTTGATTTTTTCACTCCAGCAAACCGAGTGCATGTTGAAACCAGTGGATTCCCCTGAGATGGGGATGATCAAAATACTGGACAAGACTGAACTGGAAGACAGCAACAGCCTCTATGAGAAGCTTAAGAAGGAGCCAGATGCGTTAACCTACCTTGCTCCTGCAGCTGGAGACACCATAATAGCGCTGGATTTCAGCAATGATGGTGGGTGGGTGTTTAATTCAGGCAGCCTTCTGACGGGCAGAGTTGCCTATGAAGTACATTAAAAGCAAGCGGCATGTTTTGCCGGATGCCCTCAGGGTGTCGCAAGTGTAATATGTGCTGGATTTTTAATGAGGCCCTTTAAGGTGCGACGCAACACTTAGGGTGATGACTTTTGTTTAATTTTTGTAGAGTCTGATGAGCAGCAGTTTGATGACGTTCCCTTGTATAACGATGTAATGCTCCCCTCATCCAGTGAGAAATTGCAGAGTATAAATTTGGCTATTTCCCCTCTGCCTGCTTCCGAAGCTACAAAACCACTCCGTAGCAATGCGGACCCAGCACTCAATAGAGAGGTGGTGTCCAAGCTGGAGCCCAGCACAGAGCCCTTGGATCTTGCTTTCTCCATCCGCCGGATGCAAGAAAAACCAGATACTCCTTCTGATGGAAGCCCCAGCCAAAGCCCACCTGAGGTTAGTCATCTGATAATCTGCTGCAGATCTGTAATTTTTAACTGAATCTCTGTTGCCCGACCTGTAAATAAAATATCTCTTTTCAATGTCAAATTTGTCAGCTTTGTATCCCGCCCTTCTTCCAAGAAGCTTGGGGGCAGCATATATTTCACCATCAGCTTAAAACAATCCAGTCAGCATAACATGATCCAACACGAAATAACGCAACAGGAGAGCTAGACAAATCAAGCTCCTTTAGGATCATAGAAAGCTGATTTATGTTGGTCCATCTAGATCAGTATTGTCTACTCTTGACTGGTAGCTGCATTCCCAGGATTTCAGACAGGTCTCTTACTCAGCCCTACCTTGAAATGCTGAGGATTGAACCTTGCAGAACAGCTACTCTTTCTTCATTTGACTCATAACAGATGACGGCTTAAGCCAAGCATTTTGAGCTGTACAGAATTCTGCCATCTGACAACTTGCAACCCTTCTTTACAGATGAGCACAGGAAAGGATTACTAGATTGAGGAGAAGATTTTAGAAAGGTGATTTTTAGTGAGGGCGAGGGGGGGGGTGTCCCTTGAATTCGGGGATATATTGTATGACATTAAATATGTGTGAGCTGCAACAGCCACGGGCTGCGTGGTCCTGGAATCTTGCAGCATCCTGATTATGGAAGCTCTAAAGCTTTGCATTGTGAGGAAATCTTTGAACATAGACCACTTTTAAAATTGGGTGAGGGAAATGCACAAATTTGAATAGAGGTGTGGATTGTCTTTACAGCCCAGTAGTCCTCCTAATGACTATTGCTTCAATGTGGACAGCGAGATTGACAGCGAGTTCAAGTTGGAGCTGGTGGAAAAGCTATTTGCAATAGACCCAGAGTCTAAAAACCCATATTCTATGCAGGTAAGCACGTTGGAGGAAACACTCACTTTTTAGGCCTCCGTTGTGGCCACATTTAGTTTTTTAAACGTTTACTAATACTGTGCAGTGTTAACCGGCAATGTTTTTGATAGAACTTGTGTGACCTGGAAGCTGGGATGAGGGATAAAACACAAGAATTGTGTACATAGCTGTGTTGCTCACTGTGTCCGTTCATTTAAATGGGGCTCCCACATTTGGAAATGGCAGGAGGTTTGGAAAGCAGCAATTTTTGGTAGATGGGAACCCTAAAGCTGGATTGACCATCACTGCAGTCTTGACTTCCCTGTCAAAAGATGCAATTACACTTTCTTGTGCTGACATTTCAGGAAACTGATTTAGACCTGGAAATGTTGGCGCCCTACATACCCATGGACGATGACTTCCAACTGCGTTCCTTTGATCAGCTTTCTCCGCTGGAGAGCAGTTCGGCAAGCCCTCCTTCCAAAGTGGGCACCGTCATGGGATTTCAGCCTGCCGCAGACAAGACACTACCTGCGACGGTCAAACATGAGGATGAATCGACGACACTGATAGCTCCTGTTCACATTGTCATAGAAGCCAACAGTGCCCCAGCATCACCCTATGCCGAGAATCTCAGTCGAACGGCGTCTCCAGTCAGAGAAGGAAAAGGCACGACAGAGCAGAAAGAGAAGCCGAGTCCAGGAGTGCCAAACTTGTTAACAGTCACGTTGGGTAAAAGGTAGTTTGTTTGTTTGTTTGTTTGTTTGTTTGTTTGTTTGTTTTTTAAAAAAATATGTTGCCCACTTGATCTTAAAACCAGTCACATAGTTCAGTCGGTAGAGCAGGACACTCTTAATCTCTGGTTTGTGGGCTGGAGTCCCACATTGGGCAAAAAAGGTTCCTGCAGGGGGTTGTGTACTTTTATCATCGTTGACTTGATACCTATTGATTCTTCTACCAAGAAGATTTAGGTTTCAGCCAAATACTGTCCTATAACACAATTCCAGGTTTAGGCTTCAGGTTATCAGTCTCTGCCTGGATAGTTTTGATCGTGACTAAAACTTTCGCTTCTATGGTTTGCTTGAAAAAGACTGTGTGCTCCTCTTCCAGGCAGCACTTATTGCTGCTGGTAATGCTGCCTTGGACAAAGTTTCAATGACTCTTCCATAGGTGCCAAACTTCTACACAGGAACCCTGATACGGGTTTCAAGTTAGAGCCGAAACAGAAAAGCAGGAACTTTTTATGATGTCTTCATTGCCAGACCATTTCTCCCCTCCACCCCCAATGTGCTGATTGTTTCATATGCATTGGGAATATTCTACATGGGGGAACGTTCAAACCTTTGATTGCACCACTTTCTTGGCATCAGTCTGTCTCAGAAGTTGCTTCAGTCTTACTGAGGTGTAGTTGACCTCGCACCCCATCCTGTTGTTGACTGACCACTGCTGGTCATGCACACATACCCTGCCCCAAACCTTTGAGCATATCCTAAAGGCTGTTCTTACTCTCTGAAATATGGTCTTCATGTCTCTCTGAACACTGTATTTTCTCTCCATGTGATCCCAACTGTATGTAGCTATTCAGTACTCTTCTTTGTATTGTACCACACACATCAGTGTTCTGTGAACCCAACCCCCTTGGAACTCACATTTTTACAAGCAAGAGAGCATTGTGGAACTTACTTTTTTTCTTTTAAAGCCATGACACACATGCAGTTGGTTTTAACACAGGACATTTGTCTGGAGGGGTGGGAATTAACCTTCTGAACTTGTTATTTTCAGTAGATCAACTGCTGCAGCAAATGAAGAAATTAATCCAAAGTTAATAGCTCTGCATAATATTCAGAGGAAACGGAAAATGGAACAAGATGGCTTGCTTTTCCAAGCAGTGGGCATTGTAAGTTTTTAAATATACAGTCCCTCCCTATTAAAAAAAACATGAGGTTGTTGCTTTTTTTAAAAAAAAAAAGCTTAAATTTTCTGTGGTGGTAACTTAAATCAGGTTGTAGCCATGTGGTCATGGTTCTGTCCTTCATATCAGGTGATGGCACAGTTGTTTGAACATTTAAAATTAATCCTATTCAACACCACTGAACCATTGGCATTCCTTTTTAACATGAGTTCTCTTGCCTCAAGACCCTGGAACATATCTGGCAGAACAAGGTTTGGTGGGCTTGCACTATCTCCTCTCCGTTCCCCATTGGTCCATTACCTGGAGCTGATGTTTGTAGCCTGGTACACTTGCTTGCTGTGCCACTTGAACCATACACTTAGGGTGACCAGAATTTATAAAGACAAACCCACACCTTAGTTACTACAGTTCAGAAATTCTAGCATCAAACCCTTACGATTTACCAGCAAGTCTGCACAAATCCTTGGCCCAAGGAGTCCATTTAATCTCATTTTTAAGGTGGGGAAGACTGGTGGGTGCAAGTGAATAGCCGACGGCAAACATTTTACAACATGGCAGAGAATTATCATTTTTGCACTTTTTGTTCACATCATTAGCCCAAAAGTCTTGTTTGGGATACGCTGCCCGCCTGATGCTATGCATTTCACATGGGAGAGAATCCTAAGTCATTGTGCATAGGATTGTAGCCATGAGCCTCAGAGATAAACAACGGTCAAAGACCAGGCTGAAATTTTATAGGTGGTGTATCTGGCAGCAACTATTCCAAGGTTGTGTGTATATATGGCGGCCTTCACCTGTCCCCACCGAAGCCTCATCAAAATAAACAGGATGTCCCTTTGCACAATTTATTGTTCCTAAACTTTTATATTTAGATTTTTTCCTGCAAAATACTGGTTTTTTAAAAAGACCATTTTTATACAGCAGCTGGTTAACTCAGTAGTATGTCTGTATGGTATCTCTGTGGTTATATTAATTGGACTTTTCTCTGTGTTTTTGTGTGTTCGTTTTTTTTAAGGGCACATTACTGACGCAGTCAAGTAGTCCTGGGGGAAATGTGTCCCTGGCTTGGAAACGCGTAAAAGGATGTAAATCTAATGGGCATAATGAGGTGTCGGAGAAGACGGTCATTTTATTACCATCAGGTCAGTGGCTGTTCATGGAGCAAGTCAGGTGCTCTCTCTTTTCCTCTGCCACCGTTAGCCCAGAGATGTGTGACACCAATAATAATAATAATAATAATAATAATAATAATAATAATAATAATAACTGAAATGAATGGGGAAGCCAAAAAAGGAGTTTCCATTAACCTTAGTATCCAGAGCCTTGTCTGGGTGGGATAGAATTTATCTGCTCCTTAAAGGAAAGAACCGTGGCTTCTGTATCTTCCCCCTACGCATTTGGACAAAACCAGAAGCAACAGAAAGAACGTATGTCAGTGGCGAGCATCCACATTGCATGCAGAAGGTTTCTGGTTCAATCCCTGGCATCTCCAGGTGGGGCTGGGAGAGGCTCTGCTGGTCTGTGTAGACCAGGGGTTGGCAAGGTTTACCGGCCATGGGCTGGATCACTCCCACAGAGATCGTCCATGGGCCGGACTGGCGCAGCGCGATGCCAGAAATCGTGTCCACAGCGCCAGTAATCGCTTCTGTGCATGCCCAGATGCCAAAAATTGCACCGGCACAGAAGTGATTTCCAGCATTTGGACATGCACAGATGCAATTTCTGGTATCTGCGCATGCGCAGACGCCATTTCCGGCACCACTTGGCGAGTTGTTGCACTGAGCTGGTTTAGTGCAGCTCGCGGGGGACTTGCCGAGCAGGCGGCTCAGTTTGGGGGCAGCTCGTGGGCCACATCCGGCCCACGGGCCGCATGTTGCCAACCCTTGGTGTAGACAATCCTGAGCAATGGACTGATGGCCTGACTCCGTACAATACAGCTTCCTGTGTTCCTAACATAAAAGGAGCAGGGTGAGAGAACAAGCCCTTATTGGCATAACGGTTACATGAGGGCCTTAGTTTTGTGTCTACCTGGAGACGGAGGGCGGTGAGGAGAGGGAGGATGGGCTGAACATGGGTATTTGGAGTCAGATGGAAGAAATAGTTTGTGGAGGAGAGAGGAGGACTAAGCAGCCACTCCCTACAGGTATGTTTTGCCTAAAAATAATGAAGTCTTGCAGCCAGATTCTGGGCCTAGAATAGCTGGGTTCTGCAATCTATGTAAAATGTGCATCTTTTTAGGATAGGGGCAGACCCTATGACCCTGACTACTTGAGGTCTTACTCAGTCTTTCCTCTGGCTTGCAATTTCAGGAGGTGTTGCCCACACCCTTTTTCTGGGATATATTTTCATAGCCATAATGGCTAGAAACTTGTTTTCTTTGTGTGTTTTGTAATAGGAGTCTTGGTCCCACATTTAGTGCTCCCCCCCCCATCAGAAAACTGCAGCATGCACACAGGGCAGTCTAGCAGACCTCATGCAACTTATATTCTTTTGGATTTGCCAAACCAGTGTTAACCCTGAATAATGTATGTGTTTTGTGCAAGTTAACACATGCTTCCTTTTCCCTTGCAGATATAGCAAGTAAACTTCTAGGGCAGTCCATTGACGAAAAGGGACTCCCGCAACTTACCAGCTATGACTGTGAAGTAAACGCACCCATACAAGGCAACCGCAACTTGCTACAGGGTGAAGAGTTGCTCAAAGCCCTGGATCAAGTCAACTGAGCTTTCCCCACACGCAACTGTTCTGTTTTCTTGGACACTGGTGACTCACCACCTAAAAGCAGTCTATTTATATTTTCTATATCTGATTTTAGAAGCCTGGCTACAAATACTGCACTAATTCAGTTAGTTTGGTTCTGATCCCCTTTCTACTTTGGACAGTCTTTTAAAAACAACAATGTTCTTTTGTGTAACAACAGTAACTTGGCTAATGGTGCATTTTTTTGGTACATAAACAATCAAAAGTCCAGTATGTTTAGAACACACTTGCAATGGCAGCTTTGAAGTAGGCACCTTTTTAAAAAGTATTTATTTTTTATTTTGGATCAAGCGTTTTTGTCACTGAAAATATTTCTATCAAGTGAATCACCACTGCGGTGAAACTGTCTAAGCCTTCTCTCACGTGGTTGAAGGCATTGTGTGCTCTGATGTTCAGATAAATTTTTACTTTACTTTTTTTAAAGAAGAGAAACATTTCTTTGCAGCGGTGCATTTGTAGCCACAATCGCACAATCTATTTTCTTAAGAAAATAAAAATGAAATGCCAGCAGTTCCTCATGCAATATATACTGCATTTATAAAGCTAGTTTTTAAAGAAAACATTTTTTTTATTTCTTTTCTCTTCCACTTGTTTATGTTTACTGCCTGTGAAATCATGTAGAAATTTTGGAGTAATTCTATTTTTTTGTCATGTTGTACTCGAAAAAGAGGGTTCTTAAATGCTGTGTTTTAATGTCCGTGTATGGTTCGGGGGGAAAGAGAGTTCGATCTGGAGGGGCTAGCAACATTTGGGGCATTTTTAAGTTGCATAAGAGATGACCAGGGAGAGGGTTATAAAATTATGATTAGTCATGGAGCAAACAGATAGGAGATTCCCCGCTCCTTTTTGCAATATTTAAACTCTGGCTTTCCCAGTGAAGATTGTTTCAGGACAGAAGGCATTAATTCACTACGACAATGTGGTGGCGGCCATTGGCTTATATGGCTTTTTAAAAGATTACCCATGGAAGATAGGCCTATTGGTGGCTGCCTGCCGCAGTAGCTAAGTGGAATCTGTGTTTGGGGGGGCCGTGGACCTCTGAATGCCAGTTTGCAGGGGAGAGCGGCTGTTGTTTTCACGCCCTATTTCTGAGCTTCCTCGATGCATCTGGCCGGACCTTTGGTCTACTGCAGTAGGGATCTTCTTACGTTACGTATGTGGATGAATTATCTTTTAATTAAAAAACAATGTTTTCAAAGTAGTCGCTTTGCCACCTCTGCAGGGAGAACAGTCCCCCCCCCCCCCGCCTATAGCTCTGAAAGTTCATGCTAATATTGTGTACCTAATAATTGAATTTTAATGTTCCAATGACCCTGTTTGGTAGAGGTGATCTTTCAAGCAAATCGTAAAGCATCCCTGCTTTGTTAGCAGAGTTGCCTAGTTTCATCATTCAGTTGCTTGGTAATAATTGATGTTTTGGTTTTTAATGCACCTTGTTGCTATTAACATCCATTTGTTTTATTTTTGTTAACCATAGATTTCAGTAATGCTGAATATATTTTAGGAACCTTTTTATTTAGGTAATATGTCACAAAACATCTTCGTTTCCTTCTTTGTGCTGTATAATAATTATCCCTCCTCCATTTCTTTTTTCCCCCTCTTACGTGGTTGGATCTAACACTAACTGTATTGTTTTATTACATCAATAAACTATATGTGGACCAGGCCTGCAACTGAAGTGTATATATCTGCAGATGACAGTTAATTTCTAGTGTCTATAATTCTTTTCATTGGAAGTGGTCTTGCAAGTGCCTTTAGTTCACATGTCAAATTTACTTTGCCACCGTAAAGTTGCTGAAAGTATAGAGCAGTGATATAGGATTGGATGCCTTTAAGCTTCCGCAGTTCATGAAGCTGGGGTCTGGCAGAAGGATACATATCTGCACATGTATATGTCTATTCAGAAGCAAGCGCCATTGTTTTCAGTAAGTTTGCTATGGGGTTGCAGCTTTGATCAGACAGGACAATTTCTGGACATCAAGAGCTGAAGAGGTTCTAGTATTGGAACAGAACTGAAACAACCTCCCACACTTGTTTAACCCAAACGTCACTCATAGTTAACTGCAAAGTTCTCCGTTTACCCCAGTTAAACTGATGGGGGTGAGGAGGAAATATTGTTGCTATTTGGGAATCAGAAATCTTTGCCAGGCTACTGAAAATCACATAGATCTACCAGTGGTTCCTAATTTACCTGCTGCCCAACGCTGCTGTAGACCGCACTGAAACCACGAAGACACAAGACACATTGGGTAGAATTCAATACCACGCTCTCCCAGACATTCATTTGCACAAACATTCCTGCTTCCCAAGGGGAACGCTTCTTTCCTTGCCATCCCATTTCTTTTGCAGTGCCTGCTTCATGGCATATGTTGAGATATTTGCTTAGGATGCTCTCCTATACTCACAGAATTTAAAAAAACAAAACAAAAACCCAATATTTTTCATCCAACCTGGGTCCTGGGATTCTATACCGAGAGCACCCAAATACCACACCAAGTAGGATTCAGCTAGCAAGCAATAATGCAAGTGAAGCTTTTATGTGCAGTGCGTCTTCTATCATCTGAACACATTTGTGTTTCAGCCCATTCTACTGTGAAACCACTGGAACAAACTGGAAGTGTGCCAAAAGCTATGGAATTCTAGAATCACAAGTCACCTGGAACGTGCATACCTCATTGGAAGACTGAGAAATCATGGAAGAAAACAGCATATTCCAAAATAGCGGGAGGAGATTGCTGGGTTTGTGCATGCTCCATGCTGCTGAGGCAGTATTACAGTTGCCAAACGAAAGTCTTCAACTTTGTAGCTGTTCCACACAATGACTAACATGAGGGATGTTGGCTCTAGTAGTAGCCAGTATTTTAATACTGAACATGCACATGCTTAGTCTGCACATAAGCAATCCAAATTCTGCAGCCCCTAAACTTTGCACAATATACAGTGGTACCTCGGATTAAGTACTTAATTCGTTCCAGAGGTCCGTTCTTAACCTGAAGCACCACTTTAGCTAATGGGGCCGCCTGCTGCCGTTGCACCGCCGGAGCACCATTTCTGTTCTGATCCTGAAGCAAAGTTCTTAACCTGAAGCACTATTTCTCAGTTAGCGGAGTCTGTAACCTGAAGCGTCTGTAACCTGAAGTGTGTGTAACCCGAGGTACCACTGTATTCTGATTTTGCTAGTTGGAAGAAGAGGCAAGGAGCTATCCTGGTCACTTGGTGATTATTATTTTTTTAAGAAAAGAAGAAAGCCACATTTTGTGCTATTGAATTTCAGTGTATGCATAATATAAGGGAATGCTATGCTCCAAGCAAACTAGTTCAGTTGTCTGTTGGTTTCTCCACCATGCCTGGCAATGTAGCCAGTTTTGGACATCTTCACACAAATCTCCCACACCTCAAACATAGCCTAGGAGTACAGGAAGTGTCCCTTAGAATTGGGGATACCTTTCTTTGCACATCAGAGCCCTGATTCAGTTTCAAGAAACAAGTGTCACATGCTTGTGTGCAACTCTGAATTTAACTATGCTATCTTAGCTTAAGTCTGCTTATACATAACTGACATTTTAAAGTGAATTCCTACACACAACCAAATATAATGTATGCTATATTGTATGATGTCTTTCTGATGTTAGGCTAATTCTTTGCATCTGGAATAGCTACCTTAATTAGTTTCAAGTAACTGGCAACTTAAAAGAAAATGTATGTACAGATTGCTGTGCTGACCAGGTCTCATCTCATCCCTTTACAATTTTTATAAAGCACAACACACTATCTCATATTTAATACATTGTAAAATGTAACGTATTGTTCTTTAAGAAACCGCAATCTGCCTGCTGACAATTTTTTTTGGTATGCTTTAATCAGTTTCTTCTGTTCTTTCATTACTTCCCTTCCCAAATATACTATTGTCCGTCCATTAGAGAAGTTCAGTAGCAGAAATGAGAGCAAAGTTGCACTCTCTTCAGATTGACTAAGGCTGCAAGTTAACTTAACTCTACAAGCCAGCTATTTATGGCAGTTCCAAATAGTTTTACATTCTTGGCAATAAGGCAGCCCTCCATCTGTGTGGATTGGGTGGTCTGTCGCCAAAGCATTTCCTTAAACAGGTGCAAAGGAGAATGGGGCTTACTATACTCTGCTTTTAATAGCTTGAAAGCCCATATGAAAGCAACACCCCGCTTTGATGATTCTGGAAAACCAGTATTCAGAGGTACACTATCACCAGCTGTGGAGGTTCCACATGGCTGTTAACCACTGATAGACAAGTTCTCAGAGAACAGGTCTAGCCTCCTTTAAAGCAATATTCTGAGCCACAAAGTTTACCTGCCCAAATTCCTTCATCTATTCTATGCAACTATTAAAAGTACATGTAGAGTTGCCATATTTTGAAGAGCAGAAAAGAGGACACTATGACCGCCATTCAAAGCAAATAAACGTGTCTCAAGCGCGTGGCAACCCGACCTAAGTGCACTCTACTACACCTCTAAAACCGATCTCTGATAACCCACTATTATACTTACCCGGGATGGCGAGAGAGAGAACCGGTTCTCTTAAGAGCGCTTTTTAAAAAATCCCCTCGCCTGCTACGCACCAGGTCGACCATACAAAACAATCCCTTAAGAAGGAGGCGTACGAGGAGGGAGACGCTCCCCAGATAGCTGCTCCCCATCCTTGCTGGCTGCCGTGGTGTGTGCCCTGCTGCGCCGGCTCCAGCTCAGAGCTGAGAGAGGATGCAGGAGGCGGATGCAAATGAGTCAAACGTCCCGGCCTCTCCTAGCCAATCGGGTCAGCCGGGCCACGCCCCCTATACGTGCGGTCCAGCACCCGAGACAGAGCCGCGGGCGTCTCCCGCCGCTCCCCTCCCTGCATCAGCGAAGAGGGTTCCTTGCTTGACTGCCCTCCTACGTGTGTTTTGGCATGTTGGACTCCGCCTGCATGCGATGGGATGGCAGAGAGGGGGATGCGGAGTCACCGCTTGATGACCCTCCGTCAGGGCGCTCAGTCAGGATGCGTCCCCATCACTGAACGCAGCCCTGGGCATAGCGAGGGGGGCAGCTGCCCCTCCTAAATCAAGTAAATGAATAAAAATACTTAACTAAAAGTAGAAATAATCAGAATAGTTGGAACTTATTTTAGTTTTAGGTTTTTTTAAAAAAAAAGATGAAAAAAGGCGTGTTCTTTGTAATTTTGCAAAATATACTTGCTAACCACATTAAAGGTACTCCCTGACGTCAATTTTTTTATTTAGCTTCCTAGTTTCCAAACACTGAGGATTTTTCTGAGCACTTGGGGAGCAAAAGAAAGTCATTTAAAACAACTGTTGTTGAGACATTTCGTTCCGAATCTGCTAGACAGAGCCAGACAGAGGATGATGAGGGGGGGGGTGTCATCCCCCCCCCCGCCACACTTTACATGGGAGCAAGCAAAGAGAGATTATGTAAAATGCAGGAAGAGGCGAGTGAAATCAAGTGGCTGTTATTGTTGGGCCACTGTCCCTTTTGCCCCTAGGGACCAGCTCCCGTTCCTGTTTATGGAGGGAAAAATGTGCTAGCTAGTTTATTACAGAATCGACCCAAATAATTATTACACATGGATGATGGAGGGGAGGGGCAGAAAGGGCTGTGTCAATTCTCACGAACTGGAAACTGTGTGTCTAACTAATGTAGCCTTAATGAGTAATAGTATTTTTTAAATTTTTTGCAGACACATAATCCTGCTGATTCATTGTGATTAATAAAGATGGATGGGTCCCAGATTCAAACCCCCCCTTTATGAAACACTAGCGAGCTGCTGCCAGTCAGTGCCAGAAAATCTTGAGTAGATAGACCAGAGCAGATTATACTGAGCAGATTGACACTGTCTAAGGCAGCTTCCTATGTTCACTGTTGAATTCAATAGGAGTCACTTCTCTTTTTAATGTATTTTTTAATTAAATTTTCTGTTTTACAATTTCAAATAAACATTTTACATACTTTAAGATATCCAGTGACTTTCCTTCTTCTTTTTCCATGGTTCATTTTGCATATCTTACATCCCTGCATATTTTACAATAACTATTCCAATCGGTTTTCCACTATTACATCCATCAAAAATTATTTGCTCTGTTGAATATATCTTAATGCTGCCAGCATTTTCAGCTGTACAGTTATTTTCCATATACTCAATAAACATTTTCCAATCTTCTTTAAACGTATGTTCTTCTTGCTCTCTTACTCTTTATGTTAAATCTGCAAGTTGTGCATATTCTGTCAATTTAAGTTGCCAATCTTTAGTTGGGACCTCACTGACTTTCAATTTTTGGACTAACAAAATGCAGGCTGCAGTTATTGCAGACATAAATAACCTTTTCTGACTCCCGAGAATTTCAGTCTGGGTTATCCAGACTGGGGGTGCTGGTGGGGGGAGTAATTTAAAACATTTTGTTCAGTTCATTATAAATCATTTCCCAATACTTTTTTTTTCCTTTTTACATGTCTACCACATGTGAAAGAATGTTCCCTCTACATCTTTACACTTCCAGCACTTATCTGATTATGTCTTGTGAATCTTAGCAAGCCTACTCGGAGTTAAATACCATCTATGAATCATTTTCAAATAGTTCTCTTTCAAAGAATAACATGCTGTAAATTTCAAGTCGCTTTTCCAAGGTTTCTCCCAGAGGCTGAAATCTACCGTATTTTTTGCTCTATAAGACTCACTTTTCCCCTCCTAAAAAGTAAGGGGAAATGTATGTGTGTCTTGTGGAGCGAATGCAGGCTACGCAGCTATCCCAGAAGCCAGAACAGCAAGAGGGATTGCTGCTTTCACTGCACAGCGATCCCTCTTGCTGTTCTGGCTTCTGAGATTCAGAATATTTTTTTCTTGTTTTCCTCCTCCAAAAACTAGGTGCGTCTTGTGGTCTGGTGCGTCTTATAGAGCGAAAAATACGGTATGTTGTGTCCTGTATCTACTGCCCAGTGCATCATTGAGGCTTTAACTAGCTCGTCTTTTGTTTCCCATTCTAATAACAGGTTATACATTTTAGACAAAAGTTTGTGTTTGCTTTGCAGGAGTTCTTTTTTGAATTGTGAGCTTTGGTCATTCAAGGATTTAGCAGGATTTACTTTAGACACAGGATTGCACTATCAAATAACTAAGTGTAGAGCAAGTGTAGAGCAATCCTACATGTCTTGCCCTGCTCCCCACCCCCACGAGTGTGTGACCAATGGATTTTACTTCCTAGTGTTCAGGACTGCTGGCTAATGGCACTATCCTATGTCTCAGAAGAGCCCTGTAAGAAGTAAGCTCTGCACGACTGCCATTCTATGCATACATGTCTGTATCCCATTCAACACAGTGAGGCTTACTTGCAAGTAAACCAGCACAGGATCATAGGGTCATCAAATCACATTTTCCCACAGAAAAGCAGCTTTTTTACTCGGTGTGCTCAACAGGCATCTATTGATTTCGTTTTAGCAGAGGATTAAGTGTGGGTTTAACATGTTTGCATGTAGATCCAATGTTCAATTCGGTAGCTTTTTCGTGGGAGAGAAAAATACACTCAGACTGCAATCCTAACCATGTTAACTCACAAGTAAGTCCAGTTGAATTCAGTGGGGTACTGAATTTAAAGGTAAGTGAGGTTAGGACTGCAGCCTAAATAAAGGAGATGGTTTACAAAGCGGTTTACAAAAAGCAAAAAACCAAGGAAATGAAGAAGAATTTACAACTGTACTTTAAAACACAGACGTTTACAAAGTTTGCGTGAGTTGTTAATTTGTTTTAAGTCTATTCTATTGTGGGTTTTAAAAAAAGTTTTCTGTATATTTAAATTATGGTTGTACGTTTTTCAGTGCTGACGTCATCCTTCATATATATATTTTTTGTAAAACCGCGTTGAGGTTTTCTCTGCAGTCAAGCGGCATGCAAATTTTGTGAAACAAAGAAATAAAAACACACAGAAATAAAACACCAAAAGCTCATTCGGCTAGTTATAGAGGCGGCTCTTTTATAAAAAAAAGACAAGCAACCTTATTTGCAACTGCTACTGCCGGCTCCCAACACCCTTTTAAACCATCGCCCAGAGGCGGGGCTAAGGAGCCTCAGACTCAACCAAAGAGCCGAAGTAGAAAGAGGCGGGAGTTCAGTGAAGGGGCGGAGCGAGCAGCTAAAACGTGGCTCTGATTGGCTGTAGTCGCCCACCTCCGCTTCCGCGAGCTCGACTCTTAAAAGGGCAACACGGACATAGCTAGCGCGTCTTCCTGGAGTTATTTCGAGAGCGGCAGCGGCAAGGTTAACCTTTCCCGTTCTCTCCCCGCGCCACAACAAGCGTGCAGCGCGCACGCGCAGTGGGGACGCCAGTGCTGAGAGGAGGCGGCGGCGGCGGGGTTACCATGGCCGCCGGCTGGCCGGGCCTGAAGACGGACTGCGAGGCTCTGCTCAGCAGCTTCCAGCAGGCCGAGAGCGTCCGCTTCGAGGACTTCGCCTCGCTGTGGAGGGAGCTGCGCTTCCACACCATCTTCTAGTGAGCGGGGCCTCTGGGCATGGGCAGAGTGCCTGCACCCCTTGCCGCCCCTTCCGAGAAGTGGCTGGGCTGAAGCCATTGAGCTGAAAGTCCTGCACTGCAGGCTGGGTGGGTGGGAAGAAGGGAAGGAAGGTCAGGTTTGGTCAGCTGCGAACGCTGCATTGCAAGGGTGGGGTGCCACAGGGTTCTGTCTTGGGCCCGGTCTTATTCAACATCTTTATCAACGACTTGGATGATGGACTCAAGGGCATCCTGATCAAATTTGCAGATGACACCAAACTGGGAGGGGTGGCTAACACCCCAGAGGACAGGATCACACTTCAAAACGACCTTGACAGATTAGAGAACTGGGCCAAAACAAACAAGATGAATTTTAACAGGGAGAAATGTAAAGTATTGCACTTGGGCAAAATGAGAGGCACAAATACAAGATGGGGGGACACCTGGCTTGAGAGCAGTACATGTGAAAAGGATCTAGGAGTCTTGGTTGACCACAAACTTGACATGAGCCAACAGTGTGACGCGGCAGCTAAAAAAGCCAATGCAATTCTGGGCTGCATCAATAGGAGTATAGCATCTAGATCAAGGGACGTAATAGTGCCACTGTATTCTGCTCTGGTCAGACCTCACCTGGAGTACTGTGTCCAGTTCTGGGCACCACAGTTCAAGAAGGACACTGACAAACTGGAACGTGTCCAGAGGAGGGCAACCAAAATGGTCAAAGGCCTGGAAACGATGCCTTATGAGGAACGGCTAAGGGAGCTGGGCATGTTTAGCCTGGAGAAGAGGAGGTTAAGGGGTGATATGATAGCCATGTTCAAATATATAAAAGGATGTCACATAGAGGAGGGAGAAAGGTTGTTTTCTGCTGCTCCAGAGAAGCGGACACGGAGCAATGGATCCAAACTACAAGAAAGAAGATTCCACCTAAACATTAGGAAGAACGTCCTGACAGTAAGAGCTGTTCGACAGTGGAATTTGCTGCCAAGGAGTGTGGTGGAGTCTCCTTCTTTGGAGGTCTTTAAGCAGAGGCTTGACAACCATATGTCAGGAGTGCTCTGATGGTGTTTCCTGCTTGGCAGGGGGTTGGACTCGATGGCCCTTGTGGTCTCTTCCAACTCTATGATTCTATGATTCTAAGGCGGGGTTGGGCTGGATGACCCTTGGGGGTCCCCTTCCAATCCTACATTCGGGCGGTATCCACAGGGGCAGCGGATCCCAGTGCAGATCTTTTGCCTCCGTCCTTGCCCTTAATGTAGATCAGGGTTCCCCAAACTTTTTTTTTTTAATAACTTTTTTATTCAAAATTAAAACGAAACATATTATCCAGAAACATATCATCCTTATTTCCCCTTCCTCTCCCTCCCCCCGCAGAACCCGCCCACCCCCACCTGCCGACTTCCCTCAGTTCCAGTCTTTGATTTCTCTAAAAATGCTGTTTTCTGCATGTTACACAGTTGTATAGATCCTCAAACTATTTAGCTGATTATTATCAATTAAAAGTTTGTGAATGTTTATTCAAAACCAGGCAAGGAGTCCAGTTTGCTTTGTTGCGTCTTCAAATACTTTGTAAAGGGTTCCCATTCATCTTTAAAGTCACAGTTATCCTTGTCCCGTAGTTTGTATGTCAGTTTTGCCAGTTCTGCATAGTCCATCAATTTTTCTTGCCATGATTCTTTAGTTGCAGTTCACTTTGGTCACTAACTGTGGTTTTTTTTTTACTACAGTTCCCATCATCCTTGACTACTGGTCCGGCAAGCTAGGGATGATGGGAGTTGTAGTCCAAAAAAGCAGCTGGCGACTCAAGTTTGGAAGTACAGTGGTACCTCGGGTTACATACGCTTCAGGTTACAGACTCCGCTAACCCAGAAATAGTACCTCGGGTTAAGAACTTTGCTTCAGGATGAGAACAGAAATTGTGCGGCTGCAGTGGGAGGCCCCATTAGCTAAAGTGGTGCCTCAGGTTAAGAACAGTTTCGGGTTAAGAACAGACCTCCAGAACAAATTAAGTTCTTAACCTGAGGTACCACTGTACTGGTGTAGATCTTCACTCCCCCCTCCACACTGGTTAGTCTCAGGTGCCAAAATACTTTGGGCCAGCCTTTCCTGTGGTTCTCGCTGTCCCTGACCAGGAGCCAGCCAGTGGTGTGCTGTTCAGATGCTGATGCTGATGTTGTTGTTGTTATTATATCTATTTATACCCCGTTTACAAAAAAGAGTAAAACAATGCATTCTGAAAAAATTAACAAACCTACTTTGAAAACATACGTTTTTAAAAACAAAACAAAACCCTAAAACGTTAACGTTGTATTGCAGGATGTTGGACTAGATCAGGCATAGGCAAACTCAGCCCTCCAGATGTTTTGAGACTACAATTCCCATCATCCCTGACCACTGGTCCCGTTAGCTAGGGATGATGGGAGTTGTAGTCCCAAAACATCTGGAGGGCCAAGTTTGCCTATGCCTGGACTTCCAACTCTACAGTTATGTGATTCTCAAGTTTAGTGGTAAGAACAGCCTTTCTCAATGTTGGACTACAACTCCCATCTTCCCAGACTACCGGTCCTGATAGCTAGGGATGATGGGAGTTGTAGGCCAAAAACATCTGGTGACCCAAGGTTGGGAAAGGCTGGGTTAGGAATGTCTGACTGGGACCTGGGAAACCACGTTCAAATCCCCGCTGGGCCATGAAGTTCACCGGGGGTGACTGTTCCCCAGGCAAGCCAACCTCACAGGGCTGTTGTGGGGATTAAAGGAGGAGGGCAGGGAAGGGGAATCATGTAGTCTACCTTCAACTCCTTTGAAAAAAGGGTAGGATGTAAAAGTATTATTAATATTATTATTGTTATTTACATTTTTATACCACCCTTCATCCATAGATCCCAGGGTGGCTCACAACATTGAAATACAAGGTAAAAACACAAAATGCATTATAAAAACAGGAAAAAGAACAAAACAAACCACTAACCACCCCCCAAGCAATGCTATGTTTTATTTCATTTATATCATTTTATTTTAGTTTTATTTGTTAGTTTTATTTATTTATTTCAACGCTTAACGATATAAAACCTCAAAGTGGCTTACAGTTAAATAGAGAAAAATTCACCAGCCTACTTTAAAACGTACAAAATTTAAAAATACTAGAACGGATTAAAATGGTCCCAACTTTCTAAGCATCTGATTTTGGTCTAGGGCTTTAGAACAAGGCTGGGCAACCTGGGGCAACCTGCTGAAACCCTTGAGCACTGACCCTCCTCTTCTGTCATCATTGATGTAGTATTTTCTTGACGTATAACTGGTGGGATTGACAAATGCCATGCTGTATCTTTTCCTTTTTCATCCTAGTGGTAAAATAAGGACTCCGGAGCAGATAAAGTTCACCAAGGAAGCTTTGGCGTTGGTGTGGCCGTACTTCTTTCCTCCCTACACCTTCCAGATCCGAGTTGGTGCCCTTTATCTTCTGTATGGATTGTACAATACACAGTTGTGCCAACCAAAGCAAAAGGTATAATTCCTGCTTGCGTTCGCTTATGGGCTTTTAGTAGGTGCCTTTAGGTTGTGTTTTTCTGACTTGAATTTGAAGACGTGCCTGTGTTTGTTTCTTCAGATCAGGGTCGCGCTCAAAGACTGGGCTGAAGTCATGAAATTCCAACAGGAACTGTTAGATGCTCAACATTACGACGCTGCCTATGTCTTCCGGAAGCTTCGGATGGACAGAGCATTCCATTTCACAGCAATGCCTAAATTTGTGAGTTAGTGGAATGATATTAGCAAAATCGTTCAGGCATCATCCCCATGTACGTGGGTGTCACCTTCCAAGCCCCTCCCCCCCGCATGCATAAGCATAAGCAAAAATCGCGTAAGTGGGGAGGACCCTCTGAAAAGCCTCTAAGCCAGCCTTTCTCAACCTGTGGGTCCCCAGATGTTGTTGAACTACAACTCCCATCACCCCTAGCTAGCAAGGCCAGAGCTCAGGGATGATGGGAGTTGTAGTCCAACAACATCTGGGGACCCGAGAACCGCTGCTCTAAGCCATGGGTAGGCAAACTAAGGCCCGGCGGCCGGATCCGACTCATTCGCCTTCCAAATCCAGCGTGTGGACAGTCCGGGAATCAGCGTGTTTTTACATGAGTAGAATGTGTCCTTTTATTTAAAATGCACCTCTGGGTTATTTGTGGGGCATAGGAATTCGTTCATTCCCCCCCCCCAAATATAGTCCAGCCCCCCACAAGGTCTGAGGGACAGTGGACAAAGTGCTGACAAAGTTTGCAGACCCTTGCTGAAAGCGCCCATTTCCCCCCTGCTCTTCTGTTCTCCCTCCCTACAACTCTCTCCAACTAGAGTCGAAGCTCTGGAACTGGATTTATAGCTTACGGGTAGGCAAACTAAGGCCCGGGGGCCAGATCTGGCCCAATCGCCTTCTAAATCTGGTTCGCAGGCGGTCTGGGAATCAGCGTATTTTTATATGAGTAGAATGTGTCCTTTTATTTAAAATGCATCTCTGGGTTATTTGTGGGGCCTGCCTGGTGTTTTTACATGAGTAGAATGTGTACTTTTATCTCTGTGTTATTTGTGGGGCATAGGAATTTGTTCTCCCCCCCCCCACCACCAAAAAAAAAATATATAGTCCGGCCTCCCACAAAGACTGAGGGACAGTGGACCGGCCCCCTGCTGAAAAAGTTTGCTGACCCTTGCGCTAGCGGCTAGGCAGGGAGGCTGAGCAGTCTACAAAGCGCCCCTGCCCTTCTGGGTTTCTTCAGGGCTTCCTCTACAGTTTCTACAGTTATATCAAAAATTACTGGTTTCGTTATACTATTAGAAATACATAGACAGATATTTATGAAATTATTGTGAGGTTTAATAGGTTAACTGTTTATATTTGGTCAACTTTTCTGCTGTACTGTATTGGAAGGAGAAAAACAATAATTTTCTTCATAACAATTTAAACAATTTATTTAACTAAAACAATAACATTATAGCATATGTATCAATAACTGATGTGGTCAAACTTTTTTTATTAAAAAAACCTTAGACTGAGTTTTAGCACACATGAAAAACTTAAAACAAATCCTTATTTCCTGATGAATAGCCTTTGGACTATAATGTAACTTAAATAGAAAACTATAGAAAGATTTTTCCTCCAAAAGCATTTTGTTTTAAAAATCCAATTTAAATCAAAAAAATCCGATTTAAATTTTTAAAAATCCATTTTTTTTACTTTTTATTTTAAAAATATTTGATTTTTATCCACCCTGGGGTCAGGGATTCCACTGACAGGGCGGTTACATGCCTAGGTTTCTTACCTTCTTGAAATTTCAGTGGCATTTCACTTTCGTTTGCTCATCCAGTTTCCCCTTCCGCTTTTATCCTGACACAACCACCTCTTTCTAGCTTTCCTTTAGGACTAAGAAGAACATGCAGGAGAAGACGGAGACCAGGAGCGAGTTCAGGGATCCGGACGACCGAGTTGCAATGCTTAAGCCGGATGACTTCTTAGAGGTAGAGTACGCATCATGCTCTTAATATTTCTGCTGTTTCTGCTGCAGCATCTTTCAGGTGGCCTAGCCTGCTGATTTAGCAATGTCGCCCTGTTCCAGGGGCCATTCTGTCCCTTCATGTACAGACAGTGATGCCACAACCACATGGAAGGTGTAACAAATTTAAATACCACCCGCAAACCCTCCTATGTGTTGGGGTTGCAAAGAATGACTTTTATTTGAATTGCATTTCTGATTAATACATACGCATGCTCAGGAACAGGAAGCGCAGCTCTTAGTTTTCCTGTTGAATCTCTCAGTCCTAGGAAAAGCCCAATCTAGCATTTTTGTGTGTGTGTATTCTGTGAATGTGGTGCAGACACAACCTTCTCAATTTCATATTCATACTTAGGCGCTTAGCGATATACAAAGGGCCGACTTGCCCCTCTCTCCTCATTTGAATGTCCTTCCTTTCATTTCATATTTTATTTTAATATTATTGTAGCATCATAACTGTGCTTCAGCTAACCATGGTTGTCCTTGTAACTGAAGCCAACTGGGGTTTGAAGAACCCACTCGGATATACTGGAATGGATTGGAGATCATTGTTACATCTGCTCCAGGCTGCTGGTAATGGAGAATGCTGAGAAAAGCGCCATTCATTACAACTAATACAGTCGTACCTATTTCTCCCCTGCTCTCCCTCCCTACAACTCTCTCTCCAACTAGAGTCGGAGCTCTGGAAGTGGTTTTAGGATGCATTGCAAAGCAGTAGCTACTGCCGCTTCAATACCACATGCACTAGCTCATGGGTAGGCAGACTAAGGCCTGCGGGCCAGATCTGGTCCAATCGCCTTCTAAATCCGGCCTGTAGGCGGTCTGGGAATCAAGAGTATTTTTATATGGGTAGAATGCGTCCTTTTATTTAAAATGCATCTCTGGGTTATTTGTGGGGCCTGCCTGGTGTTTTTACATGAGTAGAATGTGTGCTTTTATCTTTGGGTTATTTGTGGGGCATAGGAATTCATTCTTTTCAAAATATAGTCTGGCCCCCACAAGGTCTGAGGGACAGTGGACCGGCCGCCTGCTGAAAAAGTTTGCTGACCCCTGCGCTAGCTGCTAGACGGGGAGGCTGAGCAGTCTAAACAAAGCCCCCCTGCCCTACTGGGTTTCTTCAGGGCTTCCTCTGCCCTCAGTCCTCTTCAGGCTCCAGGGAGGGTCTCCTCGCGAGCCACAAGGACTCTCCAGCTCTCTCCTGCCTTTTCCTGGTTTGCAGCTACCTCGGAAGTCGAACAGAATCCGTCCCAGAAGTCCGTTCAACTTCTGAAAATGTTCCAACAACCAAGGCGCGGCTTCCGATTGGCTGCAGCCGCTTCCTGCAGCCAATCAGAACCCGTGGAACCCGCATCGGATGTTCGGCTTCCAAAGAACATTCGCAAACTGGAACACTCACTTCCGGGTTTGCGGCATTCGGGAGCCAAAGCGTTCGAGTCGCAAGGCGTTCAGGATCCAAGGTACGCCTGTACTATTATTAGGAGGCAGTTTTTGCAAATTCCACCTTTCTCTCACGGCCCTCAATGCCACCTTCCCTACTCCCACTAAATGCTGTCCCAATGGTTTCCCCAACCCTTGGATCAGATTTGGGGATGGGGGTAGGGGCTGCAGAAGGAAGAGGGAATGATAGAAAATTGCCTCCCAGCGCCCCTTCCTGGAAGTCTCCACTGGATCAAAGAGCTTCTATGAATGGTTACAATTGGGGGAAAAACTAATGGCTAAATTGCTTTGATCTGAAAGCCAGTTAAATTTATAATAATAATAATAATAATAAATTTTATTTATATCCCGCCCTCCCCAGCCAAAGCCAGGCTCAGGGCGGCTAACAACAAACAAATAATCAAACAATCATTATTAACATTCTAAGCCTTTCATTATAAAATTAATTAAAATCAAATTAATGGCAGCATTAATGAAGTTCTGTACACAGGTTGCCGGAGATCAGGAGTCATTTGGGCTGACCAAAGGCCTGGTGGAACAACTCTGTCTTGCAGGCCTTGCGGAAGATATTAGGTCCATATTCTAGTCTCTGTGATAGAGCGTTCTGAATTGGGCCATAGCCGAGAAAGCTATAAGCTCTAGTTGAGGCCAGCTAACCTCTCTGAAGACTGGACCTTAGGATGTTTTTGTTGCAGACCGTGGGATTTCCTCTATGGGAGCATACAGGAGGGCGGTCCACATCGTCTGAGGTCTCATTGTGGGCACACAAAAGTTGGCTCCTTTGCCTTTAAGTCCTGCCTCCACAGAGCCAGTGCAGCTGGTATGGTACCCGGATAGATAACAGTCATGGCGAGGAGCCCCATGAGAGTCTGCGTGACATTCTGCACCCGCTGGAGTTTCTAATTGATCTCCAAAAGGCAGCCCACGTAGAAGCGAGTTACAATAATCCCAGTCTGGGGAGGTGACCGTACGCGTGGATCAGTGGCTGGGTCAGGGCGAGAGATAAGAGACCAACTGCTTAGCTTAGCGGAGATGAAAAATGCCGCCTTTGTTATGGCTATGGTCTATAAGCCTCCATAGAGGAAGTATGAAAGATTTTAGGCTCTTAGGGCCAGTGCTGGCTGTTCTTACCAAGAGATAAATTGCCCCCAATCATATCGTCCACGTCCAGCCAGAGGACTACTCTGTCTTGAAAGATTTAACTTAACTGACTTCATCTTCATCCAACTGACTTCAAACATCTGGTCAATTAACTGTCTGGGCCAGAATCAGGATAGCCCATCCATCAACAGATGGGGAGTTGGGATGTCTGGCATACAGTGGCAACTGGCCCCAAAACTCGGACAAGCTGGGCGGGCGCAAGATGTTTCAAAAGCAGGAAGTATGCCTGAGGCACTCCACATAAGGAGTGGCGGATGACAATTTCCCCAAGCTCCACCCTCTGTGACCCGGAAAGCAGCGCAGCCATTGAAGGACTATTTCTCCAGGTCCCCACGTCCCTGACAGGCGATGGTCAGGGACAGTGATCAACCATATAAGGCTGCTGAGTCTAGGATGGCCCCGACCGCCTCGATCCAGCTGCCTCTCATGAAGATCATCTGTTAAGAAGCGACCAGAGCCTCTCGGTCCCATGACAGCGCGGAAGCCAGACTGGAATGGATCCAGAGCGTCTTTCATCAAAGGCTCACAAGCTGTTTGCAGCAGCACATTCTCTCAATCTGCCTTACCCAGGAGCCAAGAGTTCGAAACCGAGCGGTAATTGGATAGATCTAAGGGGATCTAATGATGTTTTCTTCTGGCGACGCACCCACTGCCTCCTTCAATTTCCCTGGAAATATTATCCAGTGCCAAAGGGACAGGTGAGTGGTGTCCCCGAGGGGCCACTTTCGTCTGGACTTCGCTCTAATCAGCCACAGAGCGGGCACGGGTGAGGACAGGTGGTGGGCATTCAGCTCGGGATGAGTCTGTCACATACAGCTGAGATATCCGATCAAGTGGTGTCTGGACCAGGACAGTCGAGGGAGCACTCCAGTTCCTTTATTGTATCCAAATTGTGGGAGAGGTCATGGCAGAGCAACAGGTTCTTCTCATAGCTATAAATGCCTCACAGCTGTGTGTCAATTTAGGTATTTAAATTGGCTGTCCTTAAGGCGTTAAGGCCTAGTCTATACTAATAATTGGCAGCTGCGGATGCAATGAGCCGGGCGGAGCACTATGCGGCCTTCCGCCATCTCAGGATTTTCATAAAAACCCTAAGATGTTCTTGAGGCTCCGTCTGAGCACCCCGCCTCCACCACTCTGTGTACGTCTGAGAGTCCCCGCTTATTTTCCAGGCACTCCTCAAGTAAACAGAGCCCCGGTTTTCTCTTGCTAGTCGTGAGAAGCGCTTAGGTGCGATGTCTATGGCTGCTAGGAGCTGGGTGTTCCAAGCTCTCAGCAAGCTCAGTCAATGGTGCCAGAGAGGGCAAGGTCCATAGGTCTTGACGGAATCACTCAGGAGTCCATCGACCTCTGCGGGCAGAGCCAAATGGCTGCTCCACCTAAGCAGGGTGGGGGTGGAAAGTCAATCCTGGCTTTCAGAGCGTAGTGATCAGATCTACTCCATGACGATACCTAATGGGTGCTTATTTTTAAATGTTTATTACAAATATTGTGTGTTTTAAATTTTATTTTCCCCCTCTGATTTTTTTTGGGGGGGGTTATTGGGTTGTTCTTGTTTTTATTTTGATTATGTATTTTGTGTTTTTTATATTGGGATTTTTATCTTGTGAACTGCCCTGAGACCTGTGGGTATAGGGCTGTATATAAATTTAATCAAGAATAGTAATAGTAATAATAATAATATTACTCATTTCATTTCCATACTGCTTTATATTTCAAAGAGAAGTCTAAGAGAGATCTAAGAAATCTAAGAGAAAATCTCAATGTGTTTTAAAACACAGTAAAATATTAAATAAAACAATCCAGAATAAAACATGAGTGAAGAAAGTCTGATGGTGATGATGATTTATTAAATTTATATACCACCCTATACCTGGAGGTTCCAGGGCAGTTCACAAAACAAAATAAAAATATAAAACCACAATATATATATAATCAAAATAAAAAACAACAGCCCAATAACCCCCCAACCCCCACATTTAAAAAGTGCATAGAATGTAAATCAGATCAACCAAAGGCCTGGTTAAAAAGGAACATTTGCCTGGAGCCTAAGGTGTATAATGAAGGCGCTAGGCTAATTTCCCTGGGGGGGGGGGGAGAGCATTCTGTTGCAATCTTTCAAAGTCTTCAGTGGTTAAGTTTCACTTTGGCTTCCAAAGCTTTCCTGCCGGTCAATATATTTATTTACATTTTAAGGAAGCGAAGAACATTCACGACCACTACCAAAAGATGAAGTGCCTGATCTCTGAGGACCAGTCCCAGCCGGACAAGGCTCTTAATCTGATAAAAGACGACTTCATAGACAATTTCAAGAACATCATTTTGGAGCATCAAGAGTGGCAGAAAAACAAAGCGGTAGTTGGCTTCGTTTTTTGTTTGCTTGTGTGCTGTTGAAGCTTGTGTGGGTGATTGGAAAGCCATTTCTCACGTTGCAGCTCGTGCTGCGCTTTTTAAAGTGTCCAGCCTATCCTAACCCAAAGCCTTAAGTAGTTTAGGGTCAAACGCGGGTCTGTGCAGAACAGAGAGCTGAACTGAGGAGATTTGCCTTTTAGTTGTTGGCTTTTGCACATTATTTCCCTCTGTTTCTGTGGAATCCTGACGCATTGATGATGCAAGAGCAACGCAGATTGGAGGGATCTCGCTGTGGAGTGCCAAACAGTATAAATTTCTGTTATGTTTGGGTGGCATCTAATAATAATAATAATAATGATGATAAATTTTTATTTATACCCCGCCCTTCCCGGTTCAGAAAACCGGGCTCAGGGCAGCTAACAACAAATTTAAAACACTTAATTGATGCAACAAAAAACAGCATAAAATACAGTATAAAACGTGAATAACAATAAATTCATAATTCAAAAATCAATTTGGGGGGAAAACCCATCCAATAAACATTAGATCTAGAAGCTAATGGGGACAATATAGGGGTGTGTGAATTGCACACTTGTTTGGATTGTTGCAGAGGCAATCTTTGTGCTGTGTCTTGTTGTGGGGAGCGAAGAACGGGTAGATCTAGAGAGCTCCACTTGGGCCTACAGCTGCCATTGTTGCATGATGCTTGTGTAAACAGGACAAGAGAACAACCTGTTTTACAAGCAGATGAGAGAGCCAGTTCATTGGTCATATGTGAATAGCCAAGACACCTATGCAGAACAGATGAGGGGGCACGTTCTGTCTGTATTAAATTTGATGCACAGTGCTCATTGCACGTCACGCTTCCTCGGATCTCTAGAGTACCTTGCTTTAGCCCTTTGCTTCCCAAAGTGGGCAGTATTACCCCCTGGGGAGCAGTGGGTTTACCTAGGGGGGCACTAAGCAGTGTGTGTGGGGGGGAAACTTGTTGGAAATGTAAATGACTATCAGACTTTGAAAAGCTTGTATAGTGATACCTCGGGTTACATACGCTTCAGGTTACAGACTCCGCTAACCCAGAAATATTACCTTGGGTTAAGAACTTTGCTTCAGGATGAGAACAGAAGGAGGCCCCATTAGCTAAAGTGGTGCTTCAGGTTAAGAACAGTTTTAGGTTAAGAACAGACCTCCAGAACGAAGTACTTAACCCGAGGTACCACTGTATCACTGTATACACTGCCGTTGAATTCATTAAACTAGTTCTAAAAAGGAATGAATGAATAAACTTATACCCCGCCCATCTGGCTGGGTTTCCCCAGCCACTCTGAGCGGCTCCCAACAGAATATTAAAAACATGGTAAAACATTAAAAACTTCCTTAAACAGGGTTGTCTTCAGATGTCTTCTCAAAGTCAGATAGTTGTTTATTTTTTGACATCTGATGGGAGAGCGTTCCACAGGACGGGTGTGAGAAGGCCCTCTGCCTGGTTCCCTGTAACCTCACTTCTCGCAGCGAGGGAACCACCAGAAGGCCCTTGGCGCTGGATCTCAGTGTCCGGGCAGAACGATGGGGGTGCAGACGCTCCTTCAGGTATACTGGATTTTAATTGGGTTTTAATAAGTGTGCAATTAATTGTTACAGATTTGAATTTTATTGTGCTATTCGTAGAATTGTAGAGTTGAAAGGGACTTCTGGTCCAACCCTCCGCAATGCAAGGATTATTATCCGCAGTGGGTCGTGCAAACCACTGTTCTGAATAACGCCTTTCATAGGGTAGGGTAGGGAAGGGAGGGGAGCACTTGGTTCATGGAACCAAGGGGCCAGTGGGAGCCGCTGTTCTAGACCAAGGCCTCCATATTTCAGTCTTCATCCCTGTGGAATGTCTTGCCCTTTCCAGGAGCCGGCCTTGGCCACTGTGGGCGAAGAAGGGACGAATGAAAAGGAGGGTCCTTCGCAAGGGACAGAGGTAAGGAAATACCGTATTTTTCCATGTCTAGGACGCCCCCCGTGTATAAGACGACCCTTATTTTTTTGAACCCAAAATTAAGAAAATGAAACCCTAAAATAGAAGTGAAAATCTGGATGATTGGCAGCAGCAAGTTGTTGATCTTTTTTGGGGGGTGATCGCCCTCAAAGTTTCCATCATGAGATGCATGTAGTTTGCCGTGGTGCAGAAGCAAAGGCAGCGACTGGGGGGGGGGCACCACACGCTCCCCCTTGGTTGCAGCTGCTGCTGCTGCTGCGGGCAAGCAGGCGCCCAAGCAGGATGCCAAGGAAGAGCTGGGGGAAGGCAGCGACCACTCTGCATCAGGCCATGCCGTCGAGCAAACTGAGCTGAGGAAGGTGGTGAGCGGGCTGGAGGCAGCGTGGGAGTTTGGGAAGGGAAGAGGGAAAGAAGGGCAAGGAGAGGTAGCTGAGGCAGCTGTCAGCAGTGGCGGCGGCATCTGTTCTCGATCCGGTGGTTGAGCCCGTCGCCAGCCAGCAGCCCGGGGGTGGGGCGGGGAGAAAGGGGGGACAGCAGCAGGAGGGACCGCCTCAGCCCGCCCAAGCCAAAATCCTGAACATATGCTTAAATCTTTTTAAAATTCCCCCAGATGCCCATGTTCAGTGTTCAAGACGACCCCCAATTTTTGTCTTATACACTGAAAAATACGGTCCTTATTGTGCTTCCTGGAATCTCAGGGCAAAAGAGTCAGGTGTAGGAACTGTGCCATTGTCTAGGCCTGGGCGAGGCAATGCTAAAAGTCTTTTCTTTTCCAGGGATTTGAAAGAGCCAGAGCGTTAGCCGACATCAAATCCAAATCTTACTCTGCAGTTGTTCAAGTAAGTGTGAAGGGAATATCAGGAAATTCTCCTCCATCGCAATAATGGGTTCTAAGTTAAAATATATGACTCTCCTTAGTACCTTCTTTACTTTTCTGTATGATGCAAAGTTATATATCTCTTACTACTCCTTGTTGTTCTGATTTATTTTATTGATGCATGTATTGAGGATATGTTAATGCAGTACAAGTTATAATATATATTAGTTGCCTATGACACGGAACAGACTGTGTTATTGAGTTAAAGATGAGATGAAAAAATGATCCAAGTTCTGGAATTTGAAAAGCTCACAGTCTTTCACAGGTTAGTCCTAAGAAGTACCAATTGTAGCTAGTTGGGTCCAACAGTTTTGCACAATATCATGCACTGATATTGAAATATGAGTGCACTGTTATATTAAAAAGTGATTTATTTATTTTTAAATCACCTATGTAAGTTAAGTGCATTGATCAGTGGCCAACTAGCAAACTTGCAGCACTGGAAGATCAGAATTTAAAATGCAACAGGGAGAACTCAGTGACTGAGGGCAAGCTAGACTAGATATCTGCAATTGGATTTCTGACATCTTTTTCTGAAGCTTAAAAACAGCCATGGGGAGAAGGGGCAAATTAGATTAGGGTTGTGATGAGGGATTTAACAATTTTAACACTGCTCCCTTGAAGTACCAATAAGAGATCCATGATTTCATGCGACAGTGAAATTGCTGTTGTATAATACTAGTGGGTAATAGAATCCGGATTCCCGCCCCCCTTTGTGTGTTAGGAGTCCACGCCTACCCTGTGACAAGGGGTTGAATTCCTAACTTTCCTTCATGATCATTCTGTTAATGAATATGGCATATGACAACATTACAGGGGGCAGAATTAAGCAGTGGCAAGATCCAAGCAGTTCATTTGATTGTCTCTCCCCCCTTCCCCATGCACACTACTAAAATTTTGTTTTCCTTCTTGCTTAATTTACTTCTCTGGCTTATTTCTTTTTTTAAAAAAAACCCCAAATGTTTTAGGCTTCCAAGTCAAGACGGCACCGCCAAGTTAAGCTGGAGTCTTCCGAATCAACAGATCGTGGGAAATCCAAATCGCCAAGGGCTAAGAAAGCCAGCAAAAGTTTGCAGCCGAGGAGGAAGAAAGAAACTCTGAGAAGCAGAGGTAGGGAAACACTTTTCCAAAACAGAAGTGTGTTTGTGTGTGTCGGGCAGGGGAGAGGGGGTTGTAATTCTCTGCTCTCACATAACACATGTTCACTCCTGAAATTGGTGCAGTTGCTATACAGGCCTCCATGAACAGCTCCTGAGAAGGGCCATCCTTTGATAAGAGCATCTTTTGACTGGTTGCCATAGGGGAGGGGATGTGAGTGTCTTGTGTGTGCGCCTGCCGCTGTCTCCTTCAGCCCATTGTGCTTCTGATGATCTTGTGGATATTATGGGGTGGCCTACTGGCAGTCACCTTGAACAGGTTTGATCTAATTTTCAGGGAATTTTTTACTTAATTTTGTTGCCTTTTTATTATCTTTTATGCAAACCACTTACTTTTACTATGCTAAGCGTTATAACGCCTCCCCCACCCTCTCAAACTTTGCAAATGCTTATAAAAGTCCATGGCTCTGGGGTACAGCATATTTTGCACGCAAAAAGTCTCGGGTTTAGTCTCTAGCTAGGGCTGGGAATGTCCCATCTGAAATCCCAGCGAACCACTGTGTAGTCAATACTGCGCTAGATGGGGCCCAGTGGCCTGGATCTATATGAGACAGCTTCCTACGTTCGTAAATATACAAATGGTTGGTCCAAGATACTTGCAGGGGGAAGAAAGAACCGTGTTCATCTTCCTCTTTAACAGAAGATCGGAAGAGAATTCAATCGGCTGCAGCCATGCAAGCAATTAGCAGAATATAGTGAGAGTATCCTGTATTTTTTTAAAAAAGCTGTTTTTAATTTTTAGAATTACAGTTTGATATTCCCGTATTATTGTAACTCAACCTCGTTCCACGCCCTCTTCATTAGCACACGACCTACGAAATACATTGCCCAACAACCGTTCTCGTTACGATTCCAGATCAGTTTGTATTTGTTCATACGAGTCCTCAAAGGAAGCCACCTTTCTCTACAGTCGTTTTTCCTATTGCTTTCCCCTTCCTGCCTTCCTTTGTTCCGCAAGTTTCTCCGTTAAGTGTTGAAGTCCGCACCTTCCTCCTCCATTCGTGAATATGGAGATGTCTTGGATCTGTCCATTTTGGTGCTGGCAGTGGCATCACTGAGACAAAAGGTTATTAGGCGCTGACCATCTTTTTGTTCCCCACAAAATACCATCAGTAGAGATGCTCTGCAGAGTCTTTTGCATTGCGTCCTGAAAGAGTTTAACCGCATCTGCAAAACTGACCGGCAAGGACATACTGTACTTTTCCGTGCATTGTTGTTGTTTAGTCGTTTAGTCGTGTCCGACTCTTCGTGACCCCATGGACCTGAGCACGCCAGGCACTCCTGTCTTCCACTGCCTCCTGCAGTTTGGTCAAACTCATGCTGGTAGCTTCGAGAACACTGTCCAACCATCTCGTCCTCTGTCGTCCCTTTCTCCTTGTGCCCTCCATCTTTTCCAGCATCAGGGTCTTTTCCAGGGAGTCTTCTCTTCTCATGAGGCGGCCCAAGTATTGGAGCCTCAGCTTCAGGATCTGTCCTTCCAGTGAGCACTCAGGGTTGATTTCCTTCAGAATGGATGCGTTTGATCTTCTTGCAGTCCATGGGACTCTCAAGAGTCTCCTCCAGCACCATAATTCCAAAGCATCAATTCTTCGGCAATCAGCCTTCTTTATGGTCCAGCTCTCACTTCCATACATCACTACTGGGAAAACCATAGCTTTAACTATATGGACCTTTGTCGGCAAGGTGATGTCTCTGCCATGGTAAAAAGTGGGGGTTGTGCATAGGGTGGACGTTTGACTGGTTGCTGCTGTGGCTGTCAGCAGCTATGTGCGTGCGTGTTATTGGTTGCTGCGTCAATGGGTGGTGTTGATTGGCTGACACTCTGGCAGTTGGGCGGGCGATTGGCAGCTTCTGCAGGCGATGGGACAGACGGGAGGCGGAATTTTGGCAATCCCCCCCACCAAACAAAGCTCAACAACCCTGGGAAATCCTCCTCAAAAAAAAAAAAGCTCAACATCCCCCCATTTTCTTAAATTTGAGTCCTGAAAAATAAGCAACGTCTTATACATGGGGGTGTCTTATAGACAGAAAAGTACGGTAGCTATGGATCTGAAATGGAAACCAGTTCCTATTCAAGATTGGTGTTGCCTTTGCAGGGACGTTGCAGTTGACAGAGGAGCAGAGTGCTGGGAAACTGAGTATGCCTGTGATTGCAGAGGATGATGAAGAAGAAGATATTGACCATCCTAGTGACGAAGGTACATTGGAGGGTTTCCTTGTTGTGCAAGCAAACTTCCCTCTTCTCTTTTTTTTTAAATAGTTTTTTATTCATACTTTTCAAATTTATACATTTCATTAATTTTACAATCCATTTAACATTTCAAAATTTGTCTTCCTTCCCCCTCTTTCTGCGGTTCCTTAAATTTATTTTTCATATCTTCTGCATATCCGAATTCATTTAATTTACTCATTTAATTATCTACCATAAATATCTACTCTTCCAAAACTGCAGGTTATTACAATAATCCTGCCAATGTTTTTTCTGTTTACAATTTATCTGTAAATGTTCAATAAACCATTTCCATTCCTTTATAAAGTGTTTGTTATCTTGATTTCTTCTTCTGTCAAGTTTCGCCATTTCTGCTTATTTCATAAGTTTTTGTATCCATTCTTCCTTTACTGGGACTTCCACTTCTTTCCATTTTGGGGCAAGTAACATTCTTGTTGCTGTAGTAGCATGCATAAATAAATTTCTATACAATTTAGGTAGTTCTGTCCCTATAATTCCCAAATTATTCCACAACAATTCCTTGTTGCGGGAAGTCATACAAACTAACCTTCCTCTTCTCACCATTTCTTCCTAAAAACTTTACTGAGAAATGTTTCTTGTTCAGGCTTGGCTTTCTTAAATCCTTTTCCTTTTGCGATTTCTTGGACGATGGCCACTTTCCCCTTCTCTTCTTTGCCAGACTTCATGCCCAGCAAGAGGAAGCGAGCTCGTTGAGAGGAGAATCCAAACGGTGTGAATTGGCTTTGCCTGAAGGGAGCGTGCCTCCGGCTAGCGGATGAGGCTGTCCAAGTGGCCTGAAGACACGCTGCAAACTGCACACGCCCCTGTTCTCATTTCAAGAAGGCAGGAAGACCCTCTATGGAAAGCTCAAAGTGAAGAAAACTTGTTCTGTGTCGTGCAATAGTTTGATGTGCTGAACAGGGGATTTCATGCCCCTGGGACTTACGAATGCTGAGAAACGGTTCTCAGGTTTAGCATTGTATATAAAATTATATTGTATTACTCATATCTTAAAATAAAGTTTTGGTTTTAAAAAACTCCCCACATTCATTAAATGAAAGAGTATAGATTATACTCGTTCTGGTGGAACGCTCTGTCACAAGAGACTAGGGCCCTGTGGGACTTGACATCTTTCCGCAGGGCCTGCAAGACAGAGCTGTTCCACCAGGCCTTTGGCCAAGGCACAGCCTGACTCCCTCCTTTGGTAATCCTCACAGAACTCTAGCCCAATGGTTGCCATTAATTTGATTCTGAATTGATTTTAGAATGAATTGATTTTAGAATGTTTTATTGTTTTACTGTTGTTAGCCGCTCTGAGCCTGGCTTCGGCTGGGGAGGGCGGGATATAAATAAAATTTATTATTATTATTATTATTATTATTATTATTATTATTATTTATACCCTGGCCATCTGACTGGGTTGCCCCCAGATTTCAGCATAATAAAAACACAACGAAACATCAAACATAAAAAACGTCCTGATAACAGGCTGCCTTCAGATGTCTTCGGGGAGTTGTGTGGTTGTTTTACATCTGATGGGAGGGCGTTCCACAGGGCGGGCACCACTATTGCATTCTGCCTTATGCTTCACAATTTTTTTCCATTTCATTTGCATCCCACCTTTTCCAAGGAGCTGCAGTTGGCATACATGGTTCTCCTCTCTCCTCATTTAATCCCCACAACAAGCCTGTGAGGTAGGCCAGGACTGCTGCCTTAGATACTTCAGATACGCCGAATTAAACATAAATTACCAAATACGGAGTTTGGCCTGTTCGTAAAGACAGTTTTCCAGTCCACCTTCATCTAGAAAGAACGCGCTGTTCTTTTATTTTTCTCCTACTATGCAGCTTTCGATGCCTCGGCTGTTTTGTGCTATTTTTCTAGGCAGCAACATCTTGACTGCTTAATAGCACATTGCACAGTGAAGCCCTTTCGATACTTGCCTGCAAAATAATGAGGAGCAGCGGTGTGTAAGGAATCTTTAAAATTATGTTCTTCCTCTTTTTGGACCCCTTCCAGATGACCTGTTTATTGAACACGTGCCCCAATTTTCTTGCTTATGCAGAGATTAGATTATTTGCTGAGCGTTGCCTCTGACATGTTTTGCAGGGCAGTTTGCACAGCAAGGAGCATTTATCCTGATTTGCTTCCAAGGTGTTTACATCTCTTTCCACTAGTCATTTGTTCATCCCACGCTTCTCAAAACATTTCTCAGTCACTTTCCAAACAGCAAAAAGTCAGTTCTTTTTAAACGTGAATTGGTTGTGCTGGAGTGACAGAGCCCTTTAATTGCAAAAAAACCCCTAAAGTTCTGTATGCATTTGAATACCTCCTGCAAAGACATTGACAGTCTGCAAGCCACCCTTTTATTGTCCGTTTGAACACCTGTGTTTCAGTCATTTTGACGAAGCAAGTTAAGCAAACTGAATTGTTAATATGGACTAGATACAAGCCCAAGTGCTTCTGAAACTAATGTTAAAAATTTGATCAGAAACCTCCTTCCTTTGTACTGCTGTGTTTTTCTTTCTTCCTGGATGGCATGAGTGATTTTTGCTTTGGGTTGGTTCGATTTAATATTTGTATTCTGCTTTCCCAGCTCAAAGTGCCTTGCAGTATTAATGATAACATTAAAAATGAACAAACAACAACTTCTTATTTCTTATATCCCGTCCATCTAACTGGGTTGTCCTCTGGGCGGCTTCCAACAAAAGTACAGGAAAAACAACATCAAACATTAAAAACTTCCTAAAACAGGGTTGCCTTCAGATTTCTGTGAAAAATTATGGAGTTTATTTCCTTGACATCTGATGGGAGGGCATTCCAGAGAATAGGTGCCACTGCTGAGAAGGCCCTCTGCCAGTTCCGTGTAGCCTCACTTTTCTGCAGTGAGGGAACCGCCAGTAAACCCTTGGACTTTGGTGTCTGGGCTGAACAATGGAGGTGGAGATGCTCCTTTGGGTATACAGGGCCAAGGCCATTTAGGACTTTAAAGGTCAGCACCAACACTTTGAATTGTGCTTGGAAACGTACCAGGAGCGAGTGTAGGTCTTTTAAACACAACAGTGTAGAAATAAGGCACAAGGCAAACAAATTCCTCCAACAATTAATGCAATTCAGAACAAGCTCAGTGATTCAAATAGCTGCTGAGCACCAGTCCTTGTGCCAGTTGGCAGTCTGGGAAGGGGCTTCTTCACTCACCACACTCCCAGGCCACAAGATCTTCCCTACTTTTTATTTATTATTTTTTTTAAATAATTTTTATTAAAGTTTTAAACAATAAGAAAAAGAGAAGAAAAAAAAACCCATACACAATACATATAACAACAACACACACAAAAAGCAACACAAAATTCAACAATAAAAAACAAAGAAAACATAACAATTAAAAACAATATCTCTTTTCCATTTCCATTTTTAAATTACTTACTTTCTGGACTTCCTCATACCTCCCTCTTTTGTATTCCAATCCAAATTATTTGTCCAGCAGTTTCTTTTCCACTTTTTTAATCCCAAACTTTAATTTAATAAAATATTGACATATATAACTTCAACTTCTTTAAGCCTAATCCTTGGTCTTAGTATCATATAACATTAAAATTTTCCCTCTTAATATCAAATTTCCATTTCTTTAAACATCTTTAATCTTAATCTTTAATCTTAGTCTATCATTAACTTTAACCTGTACAGCTGGAAACCACTTATTTTCAATCCAACATCACTCTAACATTCTTTAATTTTGCAGTGTTTCTGAAGATAGTCTTTGAATTTCTTCCAATCTTCCTCCATCGACTCTTCTCCCTGGTCACGGATTCTACCAGTCATTTCCGCCAAGATCTTCCCTACTTTTTAGTCTTGACTTCATTCTTTTCACCCTCAGAGGAAACAGGTCAATCACTTCTCTCGCTTGTTTTCTGAGAGTTGGGCCAACAGGTTGCAAAGAGGCAGGTGGTCTAGATCCCAGAAGTGTTTGGGCCTCTGCCCCCTTGGTTTCATAAGCTCCTCTTCTGAGCCCCCCACCTCATACAAAGCATTGCTCACGGTAGTGGCTTACACAATCCACTAAGGAAGGTGGCAACACAATGAAATCCAAAGCTAACAATATAGGCTGGAATAGTTCCTTCGGTAGAGCATGAGACACTCCATCTCAAAGGTTCAAGCTCCATGCATGGAGGTAGCCAGGGGGGTGCAGCTGCTCCCCTCACTAAATGAAGCAAATAAAAACTGACCAATTGCATCACAGATAACTGTTCTGCCCCTCCCAATCCTGTGGGAGGGCAGGCTTCATTTCGGGAAGGGGGGGGCAGAACCTCTGTTAAGTATTTTTATCGATTTACTTGATGGGGGGCAGCTGCCCCCTTGGCTACACCCAGGGCCCCATGTTGGGCAGAATATTTCTGCATTGTAGGGCGTTGGACTAGAATTCAGTGGTTCCTAAACCTGGGTCTCCAGCCGTTTTTGGACTACAGTTCCCATCATCCCCGACTACTGGTCCTGCTAGCTAGGGCTGGTGGGAGTTGTAGTCCGAAAACAGATGGAGACCCAAGTTTGGGAAACAGCGCACTAGGTTATCCTAGCGGTCCCTTCCATCTCTGCAGTTCTATGAATTAATTGCACGTTTAATTCAAAATCCTATTCAAACTATTTAGACCGGCTCCATGTCCCGGCCTGATTTCAGAAATAAGAACACGAGAATAACCTCCTGGGTCACAGCGGCCAACCAGGTGCAACAAGAAACCAGGGATACAGACCATGAGCCCAAGAGCCACACGCCTGGTTTCCAACAACTGCTACCCAAAATCATCACTGCCTCCAGCTGCAGAGACGCAGCACCATAGCCATAATGACTAGTAGTAGCCCCAAGCCGTCCAAGTTGGCGGCCATCCCTGCCCGAGGCGTGCGTCTTTGTGCCTTAGCGGCGGCGCACTCTGCACGCCCTCAGAGGCGCTCTCGCGTAGGGAGACTCATGGGTCTGAGGCAGCAGCCCTAGTTCCCCCGAAGCCTCTGGCCGTCCGCAGCGAGGCGCACGTGCCGGAGGCGCCCCCACCCCGGGGCTGCGCGGCGCGTGCGTAAAGGCGCCCGTGCGCCCTTCCTTCCTCGCCCGGGACGCGCGCTGCATGCAGGTACCGGCCGAAGGAAGCGGCTGCCTCTCCGCCCTCCGGCCCGACGGACAGCCAGGCAGCCGCTGCAAGGTGGAAGACCGCGAGGCCCAGGAGGGGCCGCCGCCCGCTTGCCAAAGCGAGCATCTCTTGCTGGCAGCTGCGAGGATGGCGACCGACAGTAAGTGCGCTCCTGGGGGGTCCCTGCAAAACGGGGGGAGGGGCGGCGGCTCTTGTTTTTGCAGGCTTGGACGCGGGATCCCTGCTCCCTTGCTAGACGTGCGGGTCTCTCTGTGATCTCCCCCCTCCTCCAGTTTCCTTGCGAGATGCACGAGCCTCGCGCGCTTCCGCGGAACCTTCCTCCTCCTTCTCCATCCTCTCCTGCTGGCTTCGCTGCGAGGCCCACCTGAGCCATCGCTCTCGCCTCCTGCCCTCTTCCCCGTTGCCTGCGCCTCTCTGCAGTGAGCCGAGCGGGGCTGCTGCCGTTGCTGCATCGGGAGCCTTCCTCTAGGAGCTCTCGGGCCGGGCTGGGGGCTGCAGCTGAATCCAGAGGCTTTAGGCAACGTCCCCCCACATTCCAAATCCTTATCCCCTATGTTGCTGTGTGGGGCTCTGGCATAATATGTGCCGTGCCGAGGTCTATGGGGCCATGGGCTGGGGGTGTGACTGCAAGAAGCTGGGGCGAGGCAGTGTCGTCGTTCCCCCGAGGGTTTTGTGCATCTTGTATTGGGTGTTTATATACTTTAAGGACGCACACAAAGTACCGGTACTTTATGTATTGGAGCCTTGCGTAGCTAAGAGGTCACCAGTTATGACCAAGAGGGAGGCATTGATCTGATCAGGGGGTCCCTGAGATTTGGAGAGTTGCAGCACATCTTTAAGGGGCGCAGAAAGAGAATGTAATAGAGAAGCCCTCTACAAAACCCCAGTGGGTACAGAGTATGTTGGTTGGTTGTTGGGGGGAGAAAAAGGAAAACTGGAGGAGGGGAATGGAATCTCCTGGAATTGGGACATCATGGCTGGCTGGCCAGCATGGACCCTGAACAGGAGCTGGCCACAGTGCAACAGCTTTGCTTAAAACCCCAACTTCTTTTCGTCCAAAATAGCTGCAGCCACTAAGATGGAATAGAAGTCCCTTTGGATGTGTGTGCATATGTGTGTCCTTTTTTGTGGTGGTGGAAGAATTGCATTTGTTACCCTGTAACTACTTTGTTTGTGTCGGTCAATTTCGTGTTTGTATAGGGATGTAATAGTACCGCCCTATTATGCCTTGGT